CTACAGAATACACAAGAAATTGGGAATTGTGAGTCAATATAAATATATCTCCATTAATAGCAATTGTTTAAATTAATGAACCTACATTGATTCTGCTACTCAATTTCATTGTGTCCTTTTCTAAAATTAACAAATCTTCACCAGAAAAAGTGTAAATTACAGAATCCTAACAAAATAATTTATGTCCCACTTAATCACCAAAATTAATCATAATTAATATAAAAAATATTCAAGAACAATTTGTTTTAGTTTACTTATTTTTTGAACTAAATTAATTCATCATTAATTTTCATTTAATCATTTTACAACCCTAACAATACTCTTAATAATCAAAAGAGAGAAAATAAATTATCTATTTATCAAATTGTATATCTCTATCTCTATAATCATTTGATTTATATTTTAATTATATTATTTATGAATATATATATATTCTAATATAAATACTCTTTTTGAACTCCTTCATTATCATATAAATGTACATATAGTAATATTTTATAAATATATAATCTTTTAAATAATACTATGATCATTTTGTATTTTATGATATAAGATTAAATCTTTTACATAATTATTCATTTCATCTACAATTTTATTACCAATGTTTAATTCTTAAATTATTTTTTAAGTAGAAGCCATTATTTTTGAAGTAAACATAAATTCATAAAGAATATCTCTTATAGTTAAAAATTAATTGAGAATCAATATGTTTTAGTCTTAGATATTAAATACTAAACCTTTTACATTATTTCATTATACAATGATTCATCTTTCTCATTCATAATGCATCACTTCTAAAGATCATTTTTATCCAATATATATATTTGATAAAGTCTATAATAAGAGATTGATTTATTTGCTTAGAATAGGGAACATAATACTTATGCTTTTGAAAATAATAAAAATTATGCTATCTAAGTGAAGTGACATCAATTTTCATTTTAATAAAAAAAATGCTAAAATTTGAGGCATTCAAGAAACAATAGAGACTGATAGAAAGATCACCTTAATTTATTGTGCAATAGTTATTATAGAGGAAGATAGTGTTTATTCGCGAAAACTTAAGTTCTAAGGAGAATTTCATGATTCAAGTAATAATTGGTGGCTAACAACCTTAGAAAGAAGAATCATAAGAGACAATTTATCTTAAGCCAGAATGTGGTGATCAAGTGATGAATGAATTGACCAGAATAGCAATGTCTGAAATCCCTGAGAACGAATAATTAGAGTACCATATAAGAGCTTAATAATTATTGGATTACTTTACATAGAATTAGTATGTTAGCAACCATTATTTTATAGGATTCAAGTTTAATACACAACAGTTTTATTTCATAAGATCAATTATTCATTAGCTTTAAGAAAATATGGATTGACTGAGGAAGTGATCAATTTATTACTGGATAGTGATTAGATTCTTAAGATTAAAGGGAAACAATTGAAAAAGCAACCTATTGATATTCAATTACTAGCTAGAATAGTATAAAACAAACTTATGCGATTACGTATCATCTTTTAATGTACTTTATTATTTTCTGAAAGCAGAAGGTAATAATATAATCTAATATATTAGAAACAAATAAGCATTAGAATTAGCAAAAAGTGCATTAAAATAATTGAAGGTTATCTTTGAAACAACAATCAAATTATGTTAGTAAATGAATTTAACTAATTTAATAAATAAGAAATAAAGAGCTAATTCAGAAATGAATCTAGCCACTATAACATCATAGCAACCCTAAAAATTATCATACAGTTAGATTGTTGAAATAGTATTCAAAGAAATATTAGTACTCATTAAATGTTCAATGCCATAATCCTAATTTGAAGATAAGAACACTTAAATTATTAGAAGTTATCATAGTAGAAGTTAATCTTTAGATAAATATAGTGAATAGATTTCCATTGGTAATACTAGTAATTAAAATAATAAATTATATCCAAATCTTAATGATAATCATCCTATGTTATAGATGTAAATTCTAGGTTTGATGTAAATGACATAAGTAGACATAGAAGAATTATATCCTATTAGTAATCCTGAAATGGTAATTACAGAAGAAGTCATACTTGAATTAATTATGCTTGCTGGATTAAGTTTTTATAGTATATCAACAGAATTAAGATTTATTAATTCTAATTTTGATAATAGATCTAATCTTGAAATTTGGTTATGTAAAAGTCTCGAAATCTATTATACTTATGTTCCTCATATGTCATAGATTTTTAATTAAATTTATTAAGTTTACAAGAAACTCTATGGTGTAGATAAATAAATGATACCTGAAGATTAAGAAATTACACATTTAACAAAATTATTAAGACCAAATTAATTTAATAATAAAGCTACATTAGCTAATAAAGTAGTAATAGTAATTAAAGTACCTGATGGTCCAGGATCTATAATTAAACATGCTAATACTTAATAAAAAACAATACCATCTAATAAAACAAGCAAGAAGTATTATATATATATATATTATAGACATTTATTAACATAAGTTGAAGATTAAGAAGATACAGGAAGATCTCCTAGTAGATTATTTTTAAAACCAACTAAATCTTAATAACCTTTGGAAATAAAATAAAGAGTTGAGTTTCTAATGAATCAAATATTAACTTAATAATAAAAATTAAGTAAGGAGAAGATGAAAGTTATTAAAAGTAGATTGAAACCTGAACTTAGTAATGGTATTGTAGGTATTACTCCATCTACAAATACAACTAATAATACTACATAAAATACAATATAAAATTCAGCAAAATCACCTCCAAAACTATTGAGTCGTTCTCTCTCGAATTCTCGTAAAGCTAGTCAATGTATAGTTCCTGCTTAATTAAATATTCAGCAAGCATTGCATCAAACTAGAACAGCATAATTAAAGTATAGATATCGGAATCAATTTAATACACTGCCTATTGAAGAGAGTCCTACATAATTTAGTAGCACAAGAAAACAAGGAACTTTGGATTCGGCAAAAAAATAATACCAAAATAAATATTAATTAGTACTTTAGTAGAAATTACAGAACCTCAATTGATATTATAATTATAATTTTATAACTAATAAATGGGTAATTCAATTTTTAATATTAATTCTACAGAATAAGATAAATCAAAAGATTTATAAACATTTATCCTTTGATGATTCATATTAATTAAATATAGTTAATGTTCATTAAAAAACTTGAGTAAAAACTTTGGATTCTCTATCAAAACTTAAAAGAATTATTTATTATAAGGAATTGATAGAATTGTAAATACTTTTGGTAATTATAAGCTTATAAATTAATTATTAATATAAAATATATAATTTATTGAATAAAGAAAATTGGAACATTTAAATTATCAGAAAAACATAAAAATTTATTTGTATTAGTCAAATAATAGTTATATGTAATGAGCATTACCTTTTTAATAATGAAATTGAATATAATTCTATATTTTAATGGAATATTTAAGTTATTTATTAAATATAAATATTATAATATTCTTAAATAATATAATATCATTTAACATTCTCATTTCTAAACCAAGGTATAAAAACACTCACTCTTTTTTATTAAATATAATATTTTGGTCTCTTTCTAAGAATATGCTTTTCCATTTCTGGAATTGAATAAAATAGAAATAGAGATTGCATTATAACTGCTCCAATTATTGTAAACCAATATTAATAACCAAAAGATAATGTCATAATAAATAATCCCCACCAAAACATACATTCACCAAAATAATTTGGATGTCTTGAATATTTCCATAATCCTTCATCAATAAATTCTTCTGTTTTTTTAGATCTCCATGGAAATAATTATAAATCAGCAATAGTCTCAATTGTTAAGGCTGAAAATGCAAACAGGACTCCAAAATAAAAGACATATTAATTATATTCTTAATCACTATCGAATAAGGCATAATATGTAGGATATAAACCAAAATAGACCATTAATGTGGGTCCTATATGTAATCCAAAATAACTAAAAATCCAATATATAAATTCATTATTTAATTTCTTTCTAAATACTGGATACCTAAAATCTTCATATGTCAATCCTGGCCAAAATGATAAAAAGTTATAATTATGTCTAATGAAATATGCAAATGGGACAATAATCAACCATATATTTGGTTAATATGGTGTTCTAAAAACCCAATAAATAATTAAATAAAATCCAGGGATTTACCAATAGAAATCATAAATTGATGTATTACTAATATTTATGATTATATATACTTATATCTATAAGATTGGATAAAAACAATTGAAGTTGCAATCAAATCAACGATAAGTGTTACTATCAATACATCCTTAATGTATAATTCTACAAAGAGAGTTAATGGTATCCTAAATATATTATTAAAAATTACCATAATGCAGTAATTATAGCATATGGATAAAATACAATCCAACATGATTAAGAATATGAATAATGAGTTGCCTTCTACATTATTAAATTATTGATATATTATTCTTAATAATAATATCATTTATAAGTAATAAGAGGTAGCTAAAACTGGTTAAATTTTCAACTGTTCCCAAATACTTTTTCTTAAATCATAGAAATGCTTCCTTCAATATTATTAATAGTTTTCTTTATCAATAATAAATTCTGATATCTACTTTAGTGATTCATAAATGCAAAACTTATTTTCCAGTATAAATAACTCCTGAAGATAGATTTAATATATCATATTCTATGCAAATATTAAATAAAGTTAAGAACCATAATTTAATTATCTCTCCTAATATAGAAGATTATATTCAAAAACCCAAATTTTTTTGCAAAATCTATAAACAAAAATTCAAGAAGTATTAATTTATAAATACTCTAGATATCTCAAATCATCTTGTATTTAATATTATATAGAATATGATATATGTTAATCTAAATTATAGAAATATATTGATGTTGAATTATAACAGTTTTAGTAGAGAATTTTATATACTTATAGTCTGATTAATACATATATATAATTTTTAATTAACAGAAATGATAGTAATGAAAAGATCATTTTCTCATCCTTTAAGAAGAATTACTACTGTTTACAAGTAAGCAAGATTGAGATCAGAATCTTGGATTCCTTCACCTGTTAGAGTCTCGATAAATCAAATTTCTAATTAAAGAAAAAGTCTTGAATTTCCTAATTTATGCCACACATAAAAATAAACTAATCATGTGTATTTATATTGCTAATTATAGATTGATAATTAGACTGACTAATTGAGAAAGGAGTTGTCTACCAAGAACTAAGAAATAGATGTAACTAATCATAAGACTTATTTAGAATTTGAAATAGAAAATCATTTAATCATTAGAAACAATAGAGTAATAAGAATTAATCATATTGGAATGGCAATAGAAATATTATGAATAAGAAAAGTAGCACAATAGAGAAATAGCCTAATTAAAAAGCAATTTAGATAATTCAATATTTGAAGACCCTTAAATTGATTTAATTGAATAACCAATTGAAAATAGTCTAATTGAAAGAATGGATGATTTATAAATAATTTAAGAAGAAAGTGAATGTCCTTAAAACAAAAGTCTAAATTAGTCTGTTGCATAAAATTTTAAATTTTGTGAAATTCTAAATGCTTTAAATAAAATGAATTTAGATGAATCTCCAATAATAGAATAATTTGAAATTAGTGAATCTTATATAGTATAAAGAATCAACAAACTAATAGATTATATTCATAAATTAGAGACAGAACTTGATGATTGGAAATGTAATTATTGGAATCTAGAAAAGTAACTAAACTCTCAATTAAAAGATAATTTCATTTAATAAGGTTCTGAAGAAATAGAAATTGAATTTGATTTTGATAAAAATTAATTAGTCAAAGCAATAAAACCAAATAGTAAAAGATCTTTATAAGATGAAAACTCTGCCTTATAATAAGAAATATAAAGATTATAAGAATTAAATAATTAATTATTAAATTAATAGAAGAGTCAAACTAAATAAGTTTTGGAATCTTTAATTAATAAATAAAAGAAAACAAATAGAAAAAAGAATTTAACTCACATTCCAGAACCTGCAAATAAACATTTCACTTAAGTTTCAACTCATCATTCAAGTAGTTAAAATAATACTCAAAAAAAAAGTCATCCTACATAAGAAGGATCTCCAAATTAATAAAGAAATAATCAATAAATAAATTAATACTTTAGTCATTATTTTTAATAAAAAAGAGAATAACCTACTTAACATTATTCTCCAGTGATTTTGACTAAGGTTTAATAGATTGCTACAAAATAATAATATGGAGTTAAATATTTAAAGGATATGTCTATGGATCATTATTATAATGTGAATGTATATCAAACACCAATTGTAGTTAAGTAATCTAGCTTGAGTCCTTACTAAAAATCAGGAAACAAATTTATTCAATTTTGAATTTATTATATTATTTAAAATTAATTTGAATGTCTAATTCATAGAGTGTGTAGAATAGTTTTGAGGAATTTGAAGAAGTTGATTACTTTGATATTGAGAATTATTAATATATTTCTTAGTTGATAAAGATGGAAGAAGATTTTGAAAAAGAATAATTAGTATATAATATATTTTAATAATTTTTAGTTCATAAATAGATTAGAATTAAAATTAAAGTTAATGATCCCATTTTTGTTAGAATAATTAAATAAAGATAATTTACGATAATGCATATCAAATCTATCAAAAATAATAAAGAACAAATAGTTAAATGATTAATATGTCAAGGTGATAAGCAATATTAAAACATAATATCATCGTTTAACTTTGAAATAATGTAAACAAGAAATAGCTTAAATTCTCTTATGGCTATTATTTGAAATAGAGAATTCTTGATATATTATAAATTTTAATTAATATGAACAATCGATTACTATATTATGGCATCTGTGATATATTAGTTTGTCTCGTGATTGGAGTGGTAAATATTTCTTAGAAAACATGTTGTTTTGGATTTGGTATTTCATTTATAGCAGAGTTAATTTTGATGACTGCTTTTGTAGTTTTCCTTAAGAAAAACTGTTTAAATGCCTTGATGAGAGATTGCTACTTAATAATCTCATATATGTTATGCTAAATTTTGTAAATTGAGTTCTTGGAACAATAACAATCTCCAGTATTTACCATAATAATTATTAGGAATATATGCTCTTCTTCATCATAAGATTATTGGTACTTATAACAGTTTTTTAAAGAATTCCATTTCGAATCACCATTTTTTTTATAGTCTATCTCTACTTATGCATTAGATTAGAATTCTATGCCAACATATTCCCTTATATTGGTTTAGTATTTGTACCTTTAATGTTCAAAATTGACAAACATGAATAAATACTTACTAATTTAATTACTGAATTTTTCAAAGGGACAATAACTAATCCTATATTAATAATTGATGCCTAAACAAAATAACCACTATTTCATACTAATTAAATTGAATCTGAATTTAATTATTCAATTGCAAATCAAAAGCACTTTATTAATACTCTTTAATAATTTTAAGATTCTACTAATAAAACTTTAAGTTCTATTTTAGATGAATAAAAATTATAATCAATATCTGGAGAATTAATTTAATATTGTAAACTTCAAGAAATTTCTAATGAAGACTATTCATTTATGGATTTACCATAACTTAAAAAGATTTCAACATTTATTCATGATGAAATTAATGAAGATAAATAAGAATTAGTAATAGAAAGTCCTAAGCTTTAAGGTAAAATATTATAAAATTAAAACTCTAATTAATTTAATGATGATACACCTTAATTAGGAAAAAAGAGTAAATTTGGATAATTTAAAGATAGTCAATATCATTTTGATACAATTAATGAATTAAAATAAAAAAAAATAAATATATAAGTTTAACATTGTATTTGGGATTATAAAGAAGCATTTATGATATCATTAAAAGATTTGAGAAATTAATAAATGGTAGAAATATTGAATGATGAATTAGAAGAAAGTAGGAAACAAAATGAAAATAAGGATTAAATATTAGCTACAGTTTTTCATGATTTTAAGACTCCAATTAATGGTATTTCAACTATAGTGGAAGCAATGGAAGAGAAATTTGATGTTAATTAATAATAAAAATATTATTTAAGAATAATAAAGAAAAATGTATATTTAATGTTATACATGATTCAAGATATTTTGGATTTTGCTAGAATTCAAAAGAATTAATTAAGATTGAGTATTAGTGATTTTTATTTAAATGAAATAATTGAAGAAGTAGTTGAATTGGTAGCTATATAAGCAGAATAAAAAGGAGTTGTTATTACAACACATTATGATTTACCTACATATTAAATTTATAGTGATCCAAATAGAATTAAGTAAATTTTAATGAATTTTATTTCTAATTCATTGAAATTTACTGAATCAGGGTCAATAACTATATCAGTTAATTCCCTTTAAACAGATAAATCTTAACACATTGTTCGAACTGGTTCATCTAAAAATGTGTTTACTTAATAATAGAATTAATAATCTATAGGATAGTTAAGAAAATAATTATCAGGTAGATCAGTAAAGTCTATAAATGGATCAAATAGGATGATTTATACAATTACAATAGCAGATACTGGTTGTGGTATATCTGAATTGATTAAACCAAAATTATTTAATATGTTTGCAACATTCCCAACTAAAGAAGTTTAGAATAAATGTGGTACAGGTATTGGATTGATGGTCTGTAAAAAATTAATTAAATTATTGGGACCCTCTGAAAATATTGATCTTTGGAGTGAATAAAACAAAGGAACTAAAATGTCATTTTAAATCTATTCTCGATTATCAGATGACCCAAAAAGATCACCAAATTATATTAGTGTATTTAAATAAGAGAGTAGTTCTAAAAATTTTAATATTGATAGTCAATCTTAATTTGATGATTAGTAATCCATTTAATAAACATTTATTCGTTCTTCATTATTGTATGTTTATTCAAGACCAGTAGATAAACATGATGTAGATTAGGATTAAGATATGCATCCTGAATATGAGGATATTGATTAATAGAAATTCCATAATATCAATTATATGAAAAATTAAAGATCACCAACTGTTAGTAAAATCAAAAACAAAGAATTAGCACTTGATGATTCTTAAGATGTTATCGATCCAAGAAATCGTTTATAAAGGATTTTATAAAATAAACCAAATTTTTCTATTTTAATTGTTGATGATTAACCCTTTAATGTATTAGCTTTGAAATTACTATTACAAGATATCTCTTAAAATATTACATTCTTAGAAGCTTATAATGGTTAACAAGCTATCAATAAATTAATAAGTTTCTAGAAATAAAAAAATATCAAATATATATTTATGGATTTATTGATGCCAATATTAAATGGTTGGTAAGCTACAGAAATGATTAAAGATATGGTAATATTATACATATTATACTAGATTAAAAAAAAATAAGTAGATGAACTTAAAATCATAGCAATTTCTGGATATGATGATGAAAATGAATAAGAAAGATGTGGAAATATTGGATTTGATGCATTTATTACTAAACCTGTAAGATTGGAAATGATTGCAGAAGTATTTGTGTAATTAGAGAAAGTTTGAATATAAAATTTTGTATTATTATTGATTATATATATATATATATTCATAATTTATATGATAATTTGTAATTAATTCGTTTTAATGCTAAGAAATTAAGTTTATATTTGAAATACACCTCAAAAGATATTTATTAATTAAGATGTCTTAGAAAATCTTTGAAAAAAAAGACGTAAGAAAACTTTATTTGGATGATCAAGGAAATGTTGATTATACAAAAATTCAAGCAAGATGGGAGGAATTTAAAAAAAACAAAGTCAGCTTAGCCAATAAGCATTTTACTTAATAAGTAGTCGAGAAGGCTAAAACACTTTCTCAAGAAGATTAATAAAGACTCTTAGACATCATGATTGAAGGATTAACCTACAATGATAGCTCAGTTGGTATAGCTGCTACCAGACCTGAAGATTATGATTTATTCCTTTTTTATTTAGAACCTCTTATTAGAGAATATCATAAAATTGAAGGATAGACCAAATAAGAACATGACTGGAATATCCCTGTTGGTGAATATGTTCTAACAAATATTGATCCTAAACTTGAAAAAGTTTCTATGAGAGCAAGAGTAGCTAGAAATGTAGTTGGATATAGCTTACCTTCATCAATGGATAAAGATGAAAGAATCAAATTTGAAAATCAAATGGTTGAAGTTTTTGAGAAATTTGGTTTCCCTGGAAAATATCATAGTTTAACACCAGGACATAAGAATTTTATTTCAGATTAAGAAGCTGATGTTCTTAGAAATAAACATTTCTTGTTCATAAATATGACACATGATAATTGCTTAATGTCTAATGGTGTTGCCTCTGATTGGCCATATGGAAGAGGAATTTGGATTAGTGAAGATGAAACTAAAATGGTTTGGGTTGGAGAAGAAGATCATTTGAGAATCATATCAATCGTCTAAGGAAATGATCTTGGTAAAGTAGATTAATCATTAAATGAATTATTAACAGGAATAGAAAAGAGTGGATTAAAGTTTGCTGAACATCCTACTTATGGTATTATCACCACATGTCCAACCAATATGGGAACAGGAAAAAGATAATCTATTTTAGGCAAATTCCCAAATATCACAAAAGGTGGAAAGGATGAAGCTAATTTGAAAGATATCGCTAAATCATTAGGATTATAAGCTAGAGGTATTGGAGGAGAACATTCAAATATGGATAGTGAAGGAACAGCTGATATTTCACCATCTGCTAGATTTGGTGTAACCGAGGCAATTGTGACCAAAAGATTGTATGAAGGATTGATCAAACTATATGAAATTGAAAGGAATGAAACTAATGAAAAAAAGAGATAAAATTGTTGCAATACATTTTGAATTATGATAATCGAACAATTAGATTATTTATTTATTCTTTCGAATTTTCTTATGTTATTTTGATAATTAAAAATAATATAAATATATGATCATTATTATTTTTATTTTTTTAATTGAATTTTTGTATTAACAATTTCTTGTAATCTTTTTAGTTCTTTTTCTATATAATCTATTTTTGCTTTTTGTTATTTTGTATTTTATTTACATTTACTCTTTTTCTTTTTTATTTAATCATCTTTAGCTTTCTATTACATTATTTAATTAAATAAATTATCACATTCTATTTATTCTTAACTTTAATTTTTTAATTTCTCCATTAATATATCATTTTCCTAATTTTATTTTTTTAATTCAATTTTTAAAGTATCTAACTCACCACCCATTTATTTTTATATTTTTTCATTTGCTAATTTTAGTTACTCTAATTCTTATTTGTAATTATTTAATAAACCTAAAACATTGGTTCTACTTTAAGATAATTCATTCTAAGACATATCTATTTATAATAATTAATTATGCATAGATAATAAATTTTAATATGAAGCTTCTAATTCAATTTTTTCCTATTGAATTTATTCATTTTATTATTATTTATTTTCTAATTGTTATTATAATTATGCTTTCTCATTAACTAAATTATTGAACTATTATAAACATTAATCTTCTTATTAAATTGTATTCATTAATTTAATTCTTGCCTTCTCTCCAAATGATTATACTTTCTATTCAAATTAAGATGATAATTCAATTTATTATAATTATAATTTTTGATTTAATCTTTCCTAAAAATCTAGCTTTATATTTTGCATTTATAATTAAATCTATTATATTTGTTTCTTTATTTAATTATTTGATTCTTATAATGATTAGTTCCTCTATTAAGTTAATTAAATTAATTTATCATAATTTGTTTATCGATCAGAGTTATTATTAACAATTCCTCTTGATTATAAGTAATCATTTAATTATTAATCAATTTATTACATAACTTCATGTGTTTATTCAAAATTTGACATGTTCTATGAATACATTAAGATGAATTCAAAATTTTATTAAAATTAAAAATAATAAGAAAAAATAATCATTCAAAATTAGGCTTATTGTTAATTTATTTGATCTTGAGTAATTGTGATTTTCTTATAAAAAACTCTTTTCTCTTTTTCAGATTTTCTTCCTTCTCTTTTTTGACTTCTTAATTTATATCAGATTTAAGAGTTTAGAAAGTATTCATATATTATTATATTTTGCCTCTAAAGGTTTTTGGAATAGACCCATTTTCAGATGAAGCATCTGTACTGCATCTCAGAGAAGTCATACTCATTCTTTATGTTGTGGCTCCTTTAGTAGTTTAAAATATGTGATTTCCTTTTCCAAAAGTAATAAAAGGATGTTCCAATGCTTCTGCAGATGATAATCTCAATTTATTATCCTTGCAAAGAGTTCTCTTCAAAAAATCAATGCAATTTTCAGAAACATTTAAATTGATTAAACTAATTCTTCCATCATAATTTTTTTATACTAATTCTTCATAATTATTTGAAGCAAATGGTTCCTTTCCTGTTAATGCAAGATATGTAATAATTCCAATACTATATACATCTACTTTTAGATCATATTTTTTGTCTTATAAAACCTCAGGTGCAACATATCCAGGTGTTCCACATCTATTATATAAGTACTTTCCTTCTTTAGTAAATTTGTCTGCCAATCCTAAATCAATTAAAGAGATAGTATCGAATGCATCTATTTCTTTTAACATAATATTTTATGGTTTTAAATCTCTATGAAAAATACCTTTAGAATGCATAAAACTAATTGCTGTTATGATTGGCTTTATTACTTCTGCTACTTGATTTTCTTCTAAACCATATCTACTCAAAGAATGATGAAGTTCCCCTCCTTAATATAAATCTGTTATAAAAATGATATGTTGTTTGTTTTCAAATACTTCATAAAGTCTAATTATATTTGGATGTTATAATAATCTTAAATACTACAATTCTTTATTAATAGCTATAATTTCTGTTTCTTCCAATAAAATTCTCTTTTTTTCAAATATCTTGGCAGCAAAATTTAGTTTATTTGTTTTATTAGTAGCTTAATATACTTATGCTGCTATTCCTTGTCCAATTTTCTTAGCAATTTTATAAGTAGATGTGAAATCTAATTAAATGGTTAAATTTTTAAATTAATCTATCCATTCTTAAGTATCTCCATAGATTTCAATTGTGTGATCATTCTTTTCCAAAACAAATCCAACTACTTCATTATGTTTAAATAATATTTTTAGAAAGGAATTGACTAGACTTATGTATTTCTAATATTTCATTGAATTAATACATGCTATGAATACTATATATGAGAATCCCCTAATGATAAGTTTTTGGTTTTTGATTTATTTAATGTTTTTACAAAAAAAGTTCTTTAGTTTTTTTACTTAAATAGATTCTACAAATTATAACACCAAAGACTTTGACCATCATTAAATACCGAATCTCTATGCCGAATTGTTTCAGCCATGCTATATTATTAGTATTACATCAAAGAATACACTTATTTATTTCTAAAGAAATTAATAATCCATCATATCTTGTATCTATAAATATATATATAGATTTTAGAATTAGTTCATATATTTATTATTAACTATTCTAATATAGATACATATAATTCATTTTAAAATTTGACTGATTCTTTTTTATAATAATTCATATGCTTCTTATTCTTCTTCTTTTTACTTTTAAAATGAATATTCCATAAGATTTAGATTTTCATTCAAATCTTAATTCAATAATTTCCATTTCTCTATTTGTTCTTATATTTATTCTAATTCTTTCAATAATTGGGAGGGTTCTATTACTTTCCTATTTACTTATCGTTCATTCTTAGATATAAAATAATCGACTTCCTATTCTAAATTACTCAACAATTTTAATTCATCAGTTATAGCTGTAAAATGGGCACAATTGTCAATAAGTTTTGAGTATAAAGTTTCAAGTAACATCCTAAAAACTATGCCAATATATAATTATACTTTCGTATCAAATCAATTTTCTCATATAATTAACCAATCACTTTTTCCTCTATTTACTATTCTACAATCTAACCATTTTTAAAACTTAATGGTCTAAAAAGAATCAATCTTAATCCAATATAGAGATTTTAGAATTTATTTTTAAAATGTTCTTAATATTAAAAATTCATTTTATCTAAAAATCTTGATTCTAAAAATCTTTTTTTGAATTTCGTATCTAAATAATCCTCAATCTATTTCCCAGTAATATTTGTACATTTAAAATGAATGTAACAAAGCTTTTTAAATGGTGATAAGTAATTTCTCCTTTCATCTATTGGTTTTAAAACTAATTCAGCTAAGATCTAAAAATCTTAATCCTAACTTTCATATTCTAGTTCTTCTGCCATTTCAAATAATCTCTCACTTAAACCATCCCAAAGTGATACTACATTTAAAATAATAGATGATAAAAGTCTTAAATAAATAGAATAAGTTCTTTAGTCTAATTACTTTTTTATTTATTCAAATATCTTTTCAACTAATTCCTTTTAGATTTTACTATTCAAATCCTCTAAAGAATTTTATTCTTAGATTTAAATTTAATAATAATTCTCAGAAGTTAAGTTGTGTTATAGAAATTTTAATGATGATTCTGTTACTAAAACAGTATTAACATTATTTTAATTAGCATTATAGAATGTTAAAATCAAAGTTATCAATGATAAATCTTTTAAAATTTACTATGGCTATAAATATTCCTTTTATAAATCATGAAACTTAAAATAATCATTACAAGCATCTAAAGATAAACAATAGTTTGTAATTTATAAATAATTGATATAATGAATATAATTATCGAAAAAAGATTATGTTTGAACTGATTTTAAATGTTCAATAAACCTTATAGATAAACGTTATTCATGGGATATATTTTGTATGCATATGCCAATCATTATATAATTATGCATTTATTATATTTCTGTTTCTTATAACCCTTTAAAAAAGTAATAGGTTGATAATTCTGCTAACATTTATTTAGTTAGTATTAATTTCGGTTCTGCACATTAAGAGATTATTGTAAATAATGAATCAATTATTTATAATTTAACACATTTTTCTAAATAAAAGTCATAATAGACTTCCTAAAATAATTAAAACTTTTTTATTCCTTCAGGAAAATCTTAATTTCCTTTTTATTTTACTCTTAAATAAGTAAAATGTTAAATTATAAACGGAGCTTTGGAAATGTTTTGTTATTCTCTGTAAAAGTATTTTCTACTATAATTCAATAGAAATCCTTTCAGATATTGAGAAATAGAATTTAATACTTCCTTTGAATTTAACTGATAGACTTATTTTTAATTATCTATTAATTTACATACATTTTAATTAACTAAGTTAAACTTAAATAATAATGAATTCTTATGAATAAAGACAACTGATTAAGATAATTGATTTAATGTCAATTTCGAAGCTATTCTTATAGAAAATACACATTAAATAGAATACAAACAAATAATTTAAGAATGTAAGTCTTAATTATATTTGCAGAGTTCTATACAAACTAAAATAAATCGTATGAAATGTTAATATTCAAAATGATTTAAATAATTTAATTATTAATGTATAACATGATTTTAATTCTATTCTATTTCTACAATTATTTTTAAGAGAATAATGCCAGCTATTAATTATTTACTTTAAAGAATTGGATTAACTTATTATTATAAATCTAAAGGATTAATATTTAAAAATAGGAATTAAATTTCATTTTCTTACAACTGTTGATTACATTCAATTTTATTTTTTATTGATTCAATCAAAGAGAATCCATCAATATTATTTATTTATCCTCCTAAACTCTTTTCTTATTAAAAATAGATATCTATTTGAGAAATTATATTGTCAAAACCTATAAGTGAATTTTTTTAGAAGAATACATAATTTATCTCTGCTTAATCTTCCATACAATATTTGAATTATTATTCTGTTAAATTATTTTAAGATAATATTCTTTAGACTAAATGAAGACCTGATTAATAAAATCCTAATTAACATAATTAAAAGGTTTGTTAAAGGTAATTCTTTGTTGTCCAATTGCAAGGAACGTTTTGAAATATTGTTATGGTTGGATCTCTAGATATTTAAAGTTTATTCCCATTATTAATTATATTAGATTCTTAAAAGAACATTCCAATAAATCTTTTTGTTTAATCTTTAATATTATAGCATTCATATAATAATATTAAACATTAATCTAATTTGTAATAAGTGAATATGTCCTATAATAACTATATTTTTAATTTGATTAAAAATTAGGATGTTTGATTTTCATATTTCATTATTTGCTTTGATACTTCTATATTATAATTAATGTGTATTTTAGTCATTAATATTAGGATTTCATCTTAAAAGAGATAAACAAAATTAAATATTTAATCTAATAATTCCTCTTTATAACAGATATCTAATTTTATAGAATTATATAAAATATGAAGAATACCCTTAAATTATTAAATATAATCTGGAACATTATCTTTTAAAAGTGATAAATCTAATTGTAAATCTTAAGGTTTCAGTTTTTAAAGTTTTTAAATTAATAATGGAAACCAGATATGAAATTTTGATTAAAATAATTGTTGATTAATATATTATTTTAAAAAACTAAGAATAGAAATGAATAAAATTGGATTACCAAAAGATTCAAAACAATTTAAACATCGTTCATAATTTTTACATTTCCAATGAAGAATTCCTGTTAAAATTTATTAATTAGATAAATTTTCGATTGCTGTTAATGCAGATTTCCATGATTAAGATTATAAGTAATATTTTAAAGCAAGATCATATTTTCTTCCAGAAAAATAACAAGCTGCTCCTTATTCTAATTAAGATGCAAATATGAATTTCTCGCCAGCTTGCTAAAATAGCTCAAAATAGTATTCTTTTGTATGAAAAGAGTTATTCTTTTTAGTATGAGTAGTATTACTTGATTCTGCTTATAATTGAAATAATCCTTATTAAGCTTATGATGCTAAATAAAATGCTACAGCCTAATATTCCATAGATTAATTCTTTGAATACTTAAAACATTTTGCAGCTTATTCATAAAATTTTAATTAAAACATTTTGATTCCTTAATCATTCCATTCTTTTTCAGAATTTTTAATAATAATGACTTATTCAAATTTATTTAATTTTTCACTATTTTCTTCAAATTTAAGAACATTCACTAATTTTAAATCAGTCCAGATTTTTTCTATGTATTTTCTTGAATTAGGATTCTAATCATAAAAAAATATCCTTTTTCTAGCACGAGTAATAGCAACATATAAATATTTCAATTCACTACATAAAATTGAATAAGTCTTAATATCAAATGCTTATAAATTAGGTTTTGGTCTAAGTTTATTTTCTTCATCAATTTACTCAATTGTTAAACATTTTAATAATTCCCATTGATTTTAAGGTATAGAATCATCATTAAAGAAATTATAAATAATAACATCATCAAATTCTAATCCTTTACATTCTTAGATATTTAATACTATTAGATGTTTCAAGATATCAGGAATATCCTTATTATTTTTTGCTAAAACTGCTTGATAACATCCAAATTCTATTTTTCCATCATCTTAACCTTACATTAAATAAAGAATTGAATTTATATCTTTTGATGAAATAATTGTAGGTTTAGGTCCTGAATCTGCAGATTATTCTTTTTTTAAACAATCTATTGTTTTTGGATATAGAATTTCAATAATTGATATCACATTATTAGCTAACTATAATATATCATTATGAGATCTAAAATTAATAGTTAATGAATATGTTTGAAAATCTTTCATTCCAAAAAATTGCTATTTTAAATCCTAAAATCTAAATCCAACACCTTTTACTATATTTTAAGCTGTATCACCTGATAACATGATTCTTTATTCTGCTAACAAATTAAATAAATATAAAGTTGCTTAAGTAAAATCTTATACTTCATCAACAAATAAGAAATGTAAACTAACACCTTAATATTCATTTATTTTTATTTTTTAAATTATATAATTTACTAGATCCATCTGATCAAAATATCCTTGTTAGTTTTTCCATTTTTCATATAACATAAAATAAGAATAAATTTTTAGTAATGTCTATTAATCAATTGATTATTATTATTGATAATTTAAGTATACTTATTCAGGTAAATATCGATTAGGATATGTATGACTAAATTAAGATCCTTTGATTATTGAATATATCTAACACCATACAAAATTACAAAAAGATATTTCTTCTTCTAAATTAAAATTATTTTTTCTAACTGTCATCCAAAATGAATGACAAAAGTATTCATAATCAACTTCATATAATTAAAATTATTATTAACAAACTAAATCTGTTTTAAATTAATTTAATTTGTAATTTTCATTTTAATTAAGAATATTTTAATTAAATACACCTTCATTATCATGCCATCCTGCATTATCGATTTTTCTTTTATTAATTTTTATTTATTAAAAAAATGGATTTTTTAAAGATTTATCAATTAACAACAAAAACTAATTTATTGGTAAGAATGCAGGAAAATCATTATCTTTTGTATTTAGAAAACTTTATTTATCATCTATTGACCAATTACTAAACCTTTTATTCATCTTTTATAATAAAATCCTTATTTAATTTATTTCATTTCTCTTTAAATCATCTAAATTATTGTAAAATGACTTTGAATTCCCAATAGTTATTAATTTCTTAAAATACTTTCTCATTTCATTCACTAATAAAGAATTTGATGTAGTAAATACAATATTATATTTAGTTTCCTATTATAAATTATATTCTTAAGAAATCTCAAATAATAATTATTAAGATAATATTTTTAAGATTGTACATGTTGTTTTACCTGTTCCACTTCTTCCAATTACTAAAGCATTTTAATTAGTATCAATTACTTATAATTCTTAGTCAGTTGTTGTTATTAATGGCTTTTACTCAGAAATTTAATAAACTATCTCCAATATTTGTGAAAGTGAAGATCTGATTTATAATGATTCCAAATTTATTTATTCATTTTCAACCCTCTACTATTTTAATTCTCTTTATTTTATAGATTACTGCTCTTCAAAATAAAGATATAGATCATCAATTTACACTAAATTCTGAATGTTTTTTATTTTTATATCATCAAATATGTTTGGATACCAATAACACTATTTTTAATAGTGATTTTAAAATTGGAATACACTCCAATTCTAATCATCGTTCCTTAAAAATAATTGATAAATATTAAGAGATTTTCCACTCTTATCAAATTATCCATTAACTTAACTTTCCTTTAAATTTATTGGAAATTATTTTCTTGGATCTTGTGCATTTTATTCTTAAAACTCTTGTAATATGTTATTAATTATTTAATCCTTAATCTAAGTTTTCACCAATATATCTATAAATGTAATTGTGTGAATAAACTAAAAGTATTAAAACTAGAATATATGTAATTTTACTTATTAATCATCTAATTTTGGTTTTCTGATTACTGCACATTCAAACAAAAGAATTATTTATTTTTCTTTATTTGAACTAGTAAAAAATACTTAATACATTTGCATTTATTACAAAAAATACCATTTAGTTAATATACTATCTTATTTATAAAATGCACCATTTGACAATTACCAAATTTAAAAGAAAATTTCATTATAATATTACTTTAAGTCTCTTATTTTTGAAATGAATTATTCTTTGAAAAATAGTTTGAGAATTTACATATAAAAATCACTTTCCAAATGCAACCATCAAAAAAATCATTTAAGTTTAAATTAGACGATTTCATTTCATAATCCTTTATTAAATTTTATACAAATTATTAATCCTCTATTTAAAGTTATGTCTATTTCAAGATTTTATCCCTTAAATTAAGAATTTTAGGGTTTATCTCCTTAGAATTCAAAGCTTTTGATCGATTTCTATTTTTTTTATTCATAAATAATATATTATATAAAAATATTGAAGTAAAATTTATTGAATTCAATAAAATGAAAACTTAAATGTTTTTAATATTATTAAGATTTCTTGTATTTATCCAAATAAATAAAAAATTTCACATTTTTGTATAATAGAATATATATTATAAATCAATGTAATGTTTTTGATTATTAATTAGTTCATATATAGTTTTCAATTATTCTTCTATGAGACACAAGAATTACAAGTGTAATTATTTTCACAGTACTCATCATTTGTCAACAAGTTCTAAAATTTATATTCTTGAGAACAAAGTTTGCATCTAATCTATCTCAAGTAATGAAATGCATCTAAGCATAAGTAATAAGTTTTGTTTAGGACTTAAATTGTTTTGATAGTTTGCTTACAAATTCCAGTTTAACAATAATGACATCTCTCTTAAAAATTTTTACAATCACTTTTTTTACAACTTTGGCATAAATATACTGCAGTTTCTAATAATTATTCATAATTAGTTGAAATTTGAAATTTTTCTTTACAACATTCACATACACAATCTTCTTATTAATGTTATTTTTCGTTGCATGCCCTGCATATTTCTGAATAATCATTTAAGTTTAATAATTTTTCTTGAGTATTACAATTTGCACAAATTTTTTCAAGTTTGCTTCTATCAATTTTACCTCCAAATACATCAACTATATACTCCTATTCCCCTTTTTATTATGCATCTTATTGAAGTTGATTTTTGGGCAATTTAAGGCTTATACATAAAGAAGTACAATTTTAATGCTGAAATTAGAAAAAATTATTGCATCCTATTTCTTGGCAGTTTCCTTCATCTTCTAATTCTTTAGAATGGATACATGGATCACTAAATAAATTTAACTTACCTTATAAATCAGTAATAATGAGATTTTAATTTGTCTTAACATATGTAAAATGGGAAAAGGTAGTAAAATTATATTCTTTCTCAAAGAAATCAGCATTATTACTATATTTCACCCAAGGAATGTCCATATCAATGTAACTTTCTCCATAAATGAACTTAATTCCAAATATTGGTATATCAAAAGAATAAATATATGGTGTGGAATAAAAAATAGGGAAAAATTTTCCCTAAAATTAATGACATTATTAATTAAAATGATGAGATAATTATTTAGCAATAAGTTATTATTAATATCTACTTTTAGCATAATTTTTTGCTTTAACTTATAATTCTTCAGAAATAAGTTAAGTTTTTTTGAACTGTTAAATGATAAACTTAGGAATCTTCAATACAACATAAACATTATTTTTTTGATCAAATGCTTTAAACACCAAAACGTTTTATCCTTTTTCGTGATTTTAGAGATTAAGTTCAGCTTTTTCAATTTACAACAAAGTTTTTTTTTTTTTGATCTTTGTCTATTTCATTTGTTTTCTAAATTAACTCAAGTAAGAGCCACCCCTTGATTCAAAAATAAAATTCATTTGTTTTTATTTTTTATATTGAGATTCTCTATATAAAAAATTATTATCATCTTCTATTTTAGTAGATTTATTCATTGTAGCAGATAAAGAAAATAAAACATAATCCGAAAATTTTGTTTCTGTAATTTTTGCACTTTAATAATTAGGAATACATTATCTCAAAATTTTTTCCATTTTTTCTGTCTATTATTCCTTTATTGAAATAAAAGAAAAAAAAAATCGTCTCTTTCTCTTTACAAATTTTTCTATTTTCTCCTCTAAATTATTCTATTCTTTCTTATCATCAATCAATATATTATGATATTTACTCCCATGACAAGGTGCATCAGTTATAGTGAATATCTATAAAATACTATCAGGATGTTTTGATATGTTTAAATTGTATGCAACATCTAAAGCTCCAATTAAATCTTCAGGTATATCATCCCCTCCTTAAGGTTAAAATTTATCAATAAACCTTTCTATTTCCTCTGGCTAGACAGTGAAATCATGATATTAGATATGATTAGGTCCATCACTAAAGTCTCGATAACAAACAGCAGCTATTCTTACACAAGATGAAACTGAAATCTTCCTTGTAAATTCTTTAATTATTAATTTAATATTTTATTTAGCTGCAACTAACCATTTTTCCATGCTTATCGTACAATCAATGATAAATATAATATCCACTTAAGGTCTAAGTTCAATTTAGTTAACCATTGAAAAGAGAGAACTTTGTTCTATAAATATTTACAATTAAGGTGGCTTTTATTATTATTTAATAAAGCTTTTTTGCTTTTCATCAAATTTTATACAGCCTTTTGCTACAATGGCATTTTATTATTCTTAAAAGATCGAATTAAATTTAAAACTTTCCCAAGCTCTATGTGGTTTTAAACATCTATCGTCCAACATTGGACAACACCCTTTAAAATTCTTAATGCAAAATTTATCTATATTGAATTTTTTTGCAGGACAATCGCAAATATTCTCATCACAAAATATTTCTGGATTTAATCCAGAAATAGAATACTCTTTATATACAATATCTCTTAATTTATCCCAAGTAATTTTATGAATTAAGTTTGGCTCCGCTTAGCATTGCTTTTTTTTATTTAAACATTATAAACAAACTTATTTTAGCCAAGGTGGATGTAAAAATCTACATTTTATGTTATCACAATTTTTGGGGCATAAATTATATTATCTGATTCCATTAATTGGGTGTTATTGAATTTTGTCTCTTAATTATTCAATACTAAAATGATGTAACCCGCATATTTCTTGATTTTAACAAAAACCTTAAATAAACCCAATGCATATCCCAGCAAAGGCTCTAGGGTGACTCTTCCAACAAAATTAATCTAGGCATTATAAATTTTAAATGCAAATCTATTAGACATCACTATCTTCATCAATAAATTACATTATATTTTTATTATATTAATTAGATGCTTATGAGTTTTTTCATTCTTTATTCTTAATCTTTATGAAAATTAGACATTATCAAATCGAGTTTAGAGGTTTAATCCTATTTTTCTAAATAATTAGTAGGTGAAAAAGATAATAAAATAAGCAAAAATTAAAATTTCTTTTTATGAAGAATAATTATAGTTTCATTAAAAAAAGAATATGATTTACAGTATATTTAAGTGTAATTTACTTTCAAATGATTTAAATTTACGAAACCTTATTAGAGTATAACATCTTGTAATTTAATAATAAAGAAGTACGACTTTTTAAAAATTAAATTCAATAGAAATATATTTTACATGTAATGAGCAAAATAATCTTAGTAAATAAACAACTTCAAAATGCATCTTAATTTCTCTAACAATTTAGGATTTATAGTATTAATATTTATATATTAAATATAATAAAATATAATAGAATAAAATAAAAGAAAATAATAATCATAATGTAAGAAAAATTTTCTCTTTAAAAAGAATAAATAGAATTTCCTTTTAGTTTATTTTTTAATATTCTAATTATTATTGCTCAATCAAAAATTAATGTATTCTTACTTCCATATAAAATAATAATAATTTTTTATTTGGCTTTGCAATGATGAGATTTTTTGATATTCATTATTTTGTTAGAATATAGTTTCAACTTATCATAAACCAATGGAAATAATTGGCGTAGTTAAATTTTTCAACAATTGCTTCTAAGCTTATTATGTTTCTAAAAGTAGAGGAAATCAATTTTTGTGAGCTACTTAAACTGATTAAATAATTGAAACAAATAGATGAATTAATTAAAATATTTAATTAATCACATTCTAAATAAGGGATAAATTGTCGAGAGTTTAAAAAATCCAAAACCTCGCCATGATTTCATTATTCAATCACCGAGATTGGCTCATATGAAGAAATTTGGTATAGTAGAAATAAAGTCATTTTTTTTGGTAATTAAGGAAAGTTAAAGAACTAGATTTTTTTTCATTTGGAAGAAAATCAAATGCAAAAGGATATTGATAAAATATTCAAAAAAAATAATCCTTATTTATTTCTTGTTTAATTAAGACATTTTTTAATTAATCCAAAAAAAATTATAGATCTCTAATTTATTGTATTTCTTTAACAATAAATCATTATTCATTCAATTTTAATTTTATATAACAGCAATATTTACTAATTTAAGTTTTCCTCTGAATTTTACTATTCCTATAATAATTTAGTTTGAAAGTTCCAGAAGTAATACTATCAAATCGCAAATGAATAATATTCTTAATGTCAATAAAGGTATATGAATAAAATATCATGGCTTATTCTCTAAAATTTATATTTCAATTAATTGAAAATTTGATAGCATTATATATTGTCTCACCATAATGTTTGGAATTTTCTTCATTCATTAATTGTATTGATTTTAATTTAACCTCCTTCACTCTTTAGAGAGCAGAATTAAAAAATCTCTAAATATATTACAGTATGAATTAAAATAAAGTATTCTTTATTTATTTCTGATAATTAGAGGATGTCACTTCAAAATATTCATTTACTAAAGTAATATAAGGTGCGAAATCTTAAGTTTGTTAGAGAGTATCACTTTTTGAAATAATAATTAACTGATTTAATCTATTCTAATTTGCTAATCAATTAATTGCCACTTACTAATCTTAAAAAAATTTATTATCTGATTTTTCTAAATATTCCTAAAGAAGCAAATGATTATTTAAAATAAAAATCTAAGACAATTAATCTTGATAAATCTTTTCACAAATCAAAAATAACTGATAGTTGCTAAAAATTTTTGATTTCTCTAAACACAATTTTTTTATTTTATTATTTCTATTTTTTAATTAAGAAGAAAAATAATTATGTTAATATTGTTTCTTTTATAATTGGAGATTGAAACGAAGAATATGTATCATGATCTTCGATTTAAAAAGTTTTGTTGAGGTACGTAAGTTAGGAGTGGATTAAAACGAAAAAATATTTGATATTTTAAGAATAATAATAGAATATAATTAAAAATTTTAATTTATAAGCAATAAATCATGAGAAGAGATTATATTTGAAAAATTTACTAAAGATCAATAGGATTAACTTTATATTCTCTACCAGGTCCCAAAAAAATAACATTTTTTGATTACTACCCTTAACTAGAGCTAAGAAAAACTTTTTTCAATTAGTTTCTTTCAAGTAAAAGTAATCAGGAAAAAATAGGTACACCTGAGCATTTGTTTGCCAGAATATGTTAAGAGAGAATTTATTAAATCTTCTTAATAAGATAAGAAAATTTTAAGAGTCAGAGTTAGTCATTCCCATAAATACGGATTTTGATGTTTTTTGATTTTAAATTAATTAATAAATCTGTAGAAAAAATATAAATAATTACATATTTTAAGAGAATAGTTAATTGTATTAATTTTAATATTTGATCTTTTAAAATAATAGTAAAATTTAGAAAAAATAATTGAACAACAAAATAATAAAAGTTATAAAATAATATAACAATAAGTTAGAGTAATTAATTTTATCAAAACATCTTAATATATATATCAAATTTAATTAATTTCATAAATTAATATTAAAATATGTAAGAGTAATTTTATTTTCTTTAAATTGTTGTANGCCACTTACTAATCTTAAAAAAATTTATTATCTGATTTTTCTAAATATTCCTAAAGAAGCAAATGATTATTTAAAATAAAAATCTAAGACAATTAATCTTGATAAATCTTTTCACAAATCAAAAATAACTGATAGTTGCTAAAAATTTTTGATTTCTCTAAACACAATTTTTTTATTTTATTATTTCTATTTTTTAATTAAGAAGAAAAATAATTATGTTAATATTGTTTCTTTTATAATTGGAGATTGAAACGAAGAATATGTATCATGATCTTCGATTTAAAAAGTTTTGTTGAGGTACGTAAGTTAGGAGTGGATTAAAACGAAAAAATATTTGATATTTTAAGAATAATAATAGAATATAATTAAAAATTTTAATTTATAAGCAATAAATCATGAGAAGAGATTATATTTGAAAAATTTACTAAAGATCAATAGGATTAACTTTATATTCTCTACCAGGTCCCAAAAAAATAACATTTTTTGATTACTACCCTTAACTAGAGCTAAGAAAAACTTTTTTCAATTAGTTTCTTTCAAGTAAAAGTAATCAGGAAAAAATAGGTACACCTGAGCATTTGTTTGCCAGAATATGTTAAGAGAGAATTTATTAAATCTTCTTAATAAGATAAGAAAATTTTAAGAGTCAGAGTTAGTCATTCCCATAAATACGGATTTTGATGTTTTTTGATTTTAAATTAATTAATAAATCTGTAGAAAAAATATAAATAATTACATATTTTAAGAGAATAGTTAATTGTATTAATTTTAATATTTGATCTTTTAAAATAATAGTAAAATTTAGAAAAAATAATTGAACAACAAAATAATAAAAGTTATAAAATAATATAACAATAAGTTAGAGTAATTAATTTTATCAAAACATCTTAATATATATATCAAATTTAATTAATTTCATAAATTAATATTAAAATATGTAAGAGTAATTTTATTTTCTTTAAATTGTTGTATTTGAATAGGCTTGTATTATATTAAACTTAATCAATTAAGTTTATAGTGATTTTTATATTTGATTATACTTGATATTTGACTTAATTACTACATTAACTTTCAAATGAAAGGACAATTATTTATAGGTTATTACATTTTAAAATAGAAAAGTACAATATTTAAATAAGATCAGAATTCAAAGAAATTACATTTGAAATTTTTTATCCAAAATAATTTTAGATATGGATTAATTACATTATACTAACTATCTATAATTTGGAATTTAACTTAAATTTAAATCTCACAATCGAATAAATAATACCTAATACGTAAGATAATAATTATTTTATAATTTTCTTATATACAATAAATTGATAAAATTATATGTATTTCATATATTTAAATTCAAATTATATCATTTATTATATTAGTTTCTGGAGGCTTTCTTAGTAATTCTAATTTTTAAATACATTATAAGAATTATAAAATTCAAAACAATCAGTAAAGATTTAAGTTTTATACTTTGTTCCTCTTTGATTTTAGGATTTAAAGTAATTTATAATTTTGATACTTGATTACTAATTAGAATATCCTCAGAACCTTACAAGCATTATTATTGACATTAAATAGTGTAAGCTTAAATATTAATTAATTTTAATTCCACAAAATTTTCCTTTTTTGTGATTTCAATTTATTATGATTAGTCATATAATTGAAATTCCACATTCTTCACATATTAATAAAAACTATCTAGAATTTATGCATCTTTATTATTCAAATTATAAAAATAGGATATTATTTGTGAACCTTAATATTGAATTATTAAATACTTGTAACTTAATAAATTTACCTCTTTGATTTTATAATCAAGATTTGGATATCTAACTGTAGAAATAGCTTAGAATTCTAATTTTTCATTATTAAAGTTAATTTGAAGGTGCATCCTTTAGCATAAAAGATATTCAAAACAAAGTATTAAATCTGCTTCAAAAATAAAATCTTAAAATACATACTCGATAATTTCTATTTGAATTAGACAAGATAAAATTTTAACATCATATTCTGGAATTAGATATTTTAATGAAATTTCAATTTTTTTAATTGTATAAAACTAATTGTTCAGAATATAAACTGTAAATGTTTCCATTTAAAATTTACGAGAATTAAATATAATATAACTGTCTTTTTAGTATAATATTTTAATAGTACAATGGCCATTTACTTCATTACCCTCCCCAAGTTCGTAAAATAATTATAAAGAATTTTCTAAAATTAAAAAAATCAATGAAGTGCTAACATTAGATTTAAGTATTCCAAAATTTCCAACAACAGTTAAAGATGTATCAGATAGTAGTAAGTCTGGAAATACCTATCGAATACTTATTGTTTTATTATTTAAAATCTACCCAAACTGATTAATTACATATTTTCTCCCCTCTGAATTTGAAAAAACCAAAAATAATTCATAATTATTATTAACTTTTCTAAAAAACTAATATTATGACAATGTTATTTCTGGCAAATTAATAACTACTTAATTTTGTTTATCAAAGTAATTCAAGACTATTTGTTCACTTTATTATATGCAAATTTAATTATAGAATGGATACAAACAAGAATATTGATCTACTATAATTATTGGATTTAATTTTATTGTCTATCCATTTTTATTTTTGTACTCTATTTGATCTATATTACCAAAAACATTATCTAATATAATTTCCTTATTTTGTTATTTAATAGAATAATATACTGGAATTGATTAATTTTTTACTTGTAATTGATAATTGGCATTAGTAGATATCAATTAAACTGTTATATTTTAGATTTGCAAAAAAAAATCAGATTTTTTTTAAACTACAACAAATTACTTGTAGAAATAAGTATTTGAATCAAATTAAAAATTAGATAAATTTAAGAAGACCCATTATAAAAAATAAACTGTAATTTAATTTCTAAATTAAATGTAGATTTAAGATTGATCAATAAAATTAAACTAATGATAATTCGGATCTATTTCAATAACCTTAATCAAGCAATTAGTTGCTATTTATTTGATATTGTACACCATTAAAAAATATTAACTTTATTAATTTATAACAATTATTGCTAAATAAGTTTTAGCTACTTTATATGATATTGGTTGAATAATTTCAAAATCATAAAAAGGTAAATTATAAAGAAAGTTTAATTTTTATGATGAAAGATTATACAGCTTTGCAATAATTTATGTTCCTTATAATTCAAAGAGAATCAAATATTCAATATCTACAAAATAGATGTGTTAGAGTAAAGTATTGAATGTATAAGTTAACTTCAATGATGTAGCGCTTTCAATTTTTATTTCATTCTTGGAAATTGCAATAAAAAACTTATTATCTATCAAATATGTACAGTTTTATTGAGATGAATAGTTTATTTACTAATAAATCATATTCTCCAAATCAATTTTAATTTCTTTACATTATTCTAATTAGATTGCTAGATTATCTCCAATTTAAAAGATATCAATAACTTTTAAACTTACTCTAAATAACCAACTTTCTTTTAATTATTCTTAATATTTAAACCCAATCATTGTTTAATTATTTATAATGACAAAATTTGATTTAGAAATACTTGAAAATATTTTTGAATTATTTGAAAAGAAGGAGATTTTTTAATTATTTTAAAGCCCGTTTGCCTAATCGAAAATAGTAATAACATTATGATTACCAAATATCAAAAGTAAATATTTAGTTTTTTATGATGTGCTAAAGATAATCATTTTTTGATTAACTTATGAATTTTCAAATGTGATAGAATTAGTAAGTGATTTTATGATTTGATTATTATTTTCTAATAATATTGAAAACGGTAAACCTATAGAATTATAAGAGTACTAGAACATTTTATCTTATAAAACATAAGCTACATTTTGTACTTTTGTAGTTAACAACTATGGATGTTAAAAAGAATACAAATTAACTTTGTATTATATAACTTAACTAAATTTGAAAAATGAATCAAATTAATAAATTGATAAGCATTATGAATTAGAATATTGAATATAATTGGGTAAATCATTTATTGATAAAAGATTAAGATGGTTTTTTTAAGTTAAGATAATTATATAAGGTAATCCTATTAAGAAATTAATGGATTTGTAGTCTTGATAAAATTCTAAATGAATGTATTCATTATTAAATATGAGTATGAAATTAGTAGAGATTAGAACCAAATTTTAATTGATAATTTAAGATTTTATTATTTTACCTTTTGATAAGTTATAGTAAAAAATATTTGAAAAAAAGATTATAGTTTTCGATTATGTGGTATCCAACATCAAATAATAAGAGTTTCCATCAACAGTCAATATATTATAATATTCTATTGAACCTATTCGAATTTCACTAATATAAAATATTTCAAAACTACTTAAATCTATTTTAATTATAAGATATTAGAAAAATACATAAATTTAATTATGTTATTTAAAATCTAGATTATTGATTACACCAGATTAACTATAATTTTATGTTAAATCAAGAGTAAATTAAGAAAGTAGAAAATGATATTTTTCTATATTAATTCTGATAATAGAGAATTAACAAACTTATTGATGTATTTCATATATTATTAATTAATCTACATCTTGAATACTTTATTATTATTCCATATATTTAGATTTAATTATTAATGTATCAAGTAATTTATTATTTTAATTTAGTAATTTGAATGTTAACCCAAAGTCATTTTAACATTAAATAATGTATACATTTTAGAGTAAATTAAATACTTTTAAGCATTAGAGAAAAATAGTTGGAACTTAAGTAAAAAATCCTTATTAGATTACTAAATTATTATTAATAAGTATATTAGACAGTTTGAATTTACAATCAATCTAGTTTTAGTTTAGAAGACAAATATATTAATCATCTTAATTATGATCAACAAAAGTAATAATATCTATTACTTTTTCATCAATATCGTAAGTTTGATGAATATTGATCAAAGTATTTGAGATCTAATTAAATTACTATTATTTTTCAATTGATTCATCATTAGTATGATCATAATAAGTATCATTGGATTATAATATTACACTTTTCTTTTAAAGGTATATGTATTCATTTGGTGTCAAGTAGATTTCTTCAACACCAAGAATTTAAGAGATTTTAAGCAAAATCAATATCAATAAAAACATAATTAATTATATAATTTAAAAAGAACTTGATTATAAAATAATGCAAAATATATCAATAATTAAGAAAAACTTATAAATTTGAATAAATTAATTTTAATATTTTTGCTACAAATAGACATATTCTTGTCTTTAATTTTAAAAATTAATAATTAACTTAACTTTAATTCATTCAATGTGACAATGTTATTTGTACATTTATTCAAAAAATTAAATTATCTTTAGAAATTGTTGATTAAATTAGGATTATTAGTTTTATAAAAAAAATTGAAAATATTTATCAATAAATGAAAATTATACAGAATAAATTTTCAACTAATAATTGATGAAATAAGTATTATTATGATGATCTAAAATTAATTTGAATAATTTGACAATTCTGAATTTGAGCACTTAAGATTTTCTGGCCATTCAACACTATCAAGGTATATATTATCATCATATTTTTAATTAGAATTTAGCCATTTATTTAATGTATTTGAAAGTGTGTTTCCTGATTCACCTGGTACCTACCAATCAGCAGAATTATAGCGCGACGTTAATAAAAAACAATGTTCTATACAACTAGGAGCAAATCCACCTGTTTCTTAAAAACTTTACTTTCTTTTCATTATAACATCATAAGTCTTTGAATATAAAATCTATGAAAAATCTAATTGATCTTGAGTGCATTATGTTAAATTATAATTATTAGCACAATCAACTTTAAACATTTAGCTCAAACTATAATAATCATATAGTGATTAAACAATAAACAAAGGAGTTTTTATGTATTCTAACAAATATTATGCATAATAGCATTTCCATTTCTATTGCTGATTATTACTAACACATTCACTATTTGGATGAAATACTTCAGAATTTACTAGTTCAATTAGTAAATCAAGAGATTGTCTTGGATTATTTGTTCCATCAATAGCTTCCATATCAATGAAAATTCCTGAATCTGGAACTCCATAAACAACTACACTAGCTGGCAATTTAGATCTTATGTAATCAACCCAGAAATAGGCTGCTATTCCTCCAGCTGAACATCCAGAGACTATTACTATTTCAGCCTTAGACAAATCATCATATAATTCTGATAACCATGATTTAACTATTTGATCACCTCTAAAATATAGTTTTTAACCCTCGTATTCTATAGGATCAGATTTATATCCTTAATGCTCTAAAGATATTTAATGAAGATATACATGTTCCATCACAATAATTTAGGTAAATCATATTCCAGTTATAGTAATGTTCATTTCCATTTTTAGTTCTCCCAAACCATCCAGAATATAACATTTGTTAATTCAAATTCTTTGAACTTCCTAAGTCTGTCTTTGATCTAATATAACTCTTAAGTGTACCTAGTGTATGCTGATTTGACTAATTAATCATAGGTTTAACCCCCAATTCTCCTAAAGAAATAAATATTAATCTTACGATCCTCCTTAAAAGTGTAATATATACTTTTTAGCTCCAGTTCCATATCCTTCAGCTTTATAAAATGACTTGATATTTTAAACTAATTACAGATGGTGAACCATCTAAGCATAATGCTTTAGGATCTGATATATATTTTAGATGAAATGGCATTATGCTTTATACAATTAGAATCAGGCAGATTGTTTTTTTCATAGATTATTATATATATTAATTTAATAAATAGCATTTCATATAAAAGGTTTATTGTTTTATAATATTTTTAATTGTTAGTATTTCATAATACGGATTATGAATTAGTGGTTGCATTACTATAATAATTACAACAACTTTATAAATTTATTCATTTAAAAATTAATTTATCTGAGTATTAATTATAAGATATAATAACTTTGGATAAACGGTTTTTGTTTATGAAATAACATTTAAAATATATATAGATATATTTATTTACATATTTTATTTGTATAAATTCTCTTAGTTATTTTAATAATAGTATAAGAATTATTAAATTATCTAACAAATTCATAAACAAATTAAATTTTATAAAATATGTTAAGAATTTAGAATTAAAAAATTCTATCTTTTGATTAATAATAAAATTCTAATTGAGATTTTATATTTTGATTGTAGATATACTCTTATCCTTCTTTTTAATAGATTTAAAGCAATCCTTAATTAAAATTTAAAAAATATAAATGATTTAATAATAATAATTAATTTATCAGATTCTCAATAATGATGAAAATTTTCAGTGCAATTGATAAAATAGATATTTTTGGTGTTCCAATTCCTTTGTTAACTTAGACAAATGATTACAAATATCAAAGTAAAATCGGAGGAATTCTTTCAATTCTATTAGCAAGTATAAGTTTAACTTACTTTTTTTATATTGTTGTGTAATGGAGTAATAATTTGATTTCTCCTAATGTAAGTTCTAAGTAGAAAATAATTAATTACACAGAATTCTCATTCTCAGAACCTTTAATTGAAATAAATTTATAAGATTTCACCAATGACATTGATCCTTTTAGGAAAACTAATAACATAATTACTCCACTTTTGTATACAATAATAAATTCAACCATAATCAACTAATCCATACCCTTGTTTAGCACTTCAGAGTCTCCATATCAAATATCATTATCAAATGGTTCCTTAGTACTTAATAATATTGATTAAAATGAAATGAATAATTTGGATATGAAGTAATACTTAATTGTACTAACATAATGTTCAAATAGTTCATTATTGTAAGGAGGTTACTGTGCTGACGAAAATGTTATCAGAGAATATTTATAAAAATATCATGGGTTTTTATTCTTAACAATAAGATTGAGTCAATTAAATTATGTGACAAGAGAATTAGAGATAATAAGAAAGTAATATTATACAAGTCTAGATACTAAAAATCCAATATATTCATAAATAATGTTAAAACAATAAGAAACCATAATTGATGATGGTATTTTGTTTAACAATTATTAACGATACAATTTTTTGAATAATTATGAAATGATTAACTAACAAATTGACAATTCCTTTGCTTCAAGAGTATTTACTTATATGTCTGAGACTCCCTTAAGCTTAGATAATTATGGTTGCTATTTATTTAGAATAGATAATATCTCTGTTGTGGAAGAAGTTACAATGCCAAAATTGGGTTAAATTTTAGCATAAATAGGATCAATTGTACAATTACTATTTTTATTGAAATATGTAGCATTATATTATAATACACAATCACTTGAAAATGAATTACTTCATGATATAATAGCTATGTATTATCCAGATTTAAAAGGAATTACTTTAAAGAATTTCATTAAAAAATAATATTCTTAAGAATAAAATACCAAAAAATAATAATAATCTATTGAATATTTCAATTCCATTCAAAAAAATTTACTTCAGAAAGCCAAACAAAAATGTAGACTTAATAACATAATTTATGAAATATCAAGAATATAATTTATTATTTAATAATAATTTGGAATTTAAATTTTAACAGCTAGTCACTAATTTGGAGAAAAAGTAGAAAATTATTTATTAACACCACCAATAGAAAAAGAAACAAATAGATTATTCATCAAACCTATAGATTCAATTGATCTGGAATAATTAAAAATTAATAGGGATCCTTTAGAATTTTTAATAAAATAATCATGAAATAAATTATTATTTATATTTAAAAATTTGCCTATTGTTATTATTATTATTTATCTCTAATTCTTTATAATTTTTGATTTAATCATTAACAGCATTTAATATTAATTTAAAATTATAAAACTTATGAAATAATTGTACAAAATAAATTATGACCACTAATATTATTTTTAATTTAATCCTAAATTGCATTAACAATTATAATCATAAAAATACAATTAACAAAGATAGGTATTCTAGGTTGTGTAAATTATTAAAAATAACTAATTATTTCAAAAATACAACAAGATTCATGAACAATCATTCTACAATATATAATAAACACATTCTCAAACGAATAATTACATCTGTCTATTTTATTAACTTACAATTTTGATTAAAATTATTAATATATATATATATTAATATATAATTCTTAAGGTTAAAAAATGAAATAAATAAAGTCTCATAATCTGATTAATATAGGAATCATATATTTATCAAATTGATAGATGGATGATTAGAAAATTATCAAATTAGTGCAAAATTCTGAAACTATAATAAATGGATTTGTAATACCATGTTAAAAAAAAATAACCACTAAGTAATGAATTCTAAGCAATACTGATAATTCAGCAGATTTAAAGATATTAATTCTAAGATCAAACAAAAAAATACACTTTGTTCTTATCAAATCAAAGATAGATGAAAAAGAAAATAAATATAATTATTTAATATAAAAATAATTGATTTAGTATTTTTGTAGTTAATCTTTGATCCTTATTTTAGTATGTTTTTAGAACAAGTTAATCAACGAAACAATAATGAAAATTAGATAAGAGATTAGAATAATTTATATATATATATAATGATTATAATAATCATATTATATAACTTTCATATTTCTAGATAGGATAAAGAAATTTAAATAATTTTATTTATATATTTAATATAAAAGTTTAGGTAACTTTAAATAAATAATTATATTAATTTATTCGAGTTTATTTAGAAATGAATTAATTATTTCCTTATAAATGAAATATTTATTTTTTGTTTAAATTTTTGATAAGATATTTTCATGCCTAAATTTAAAAAATTGATAATCTTTTTAATCATTACAACTTGATTTATTAAACTTAAATAACAAAATGGCATAGATGAGTCGATAAAATTTGTTTTGGAGATCCTGTAAGTTGTGTATATACTCAATTTTCATCGATCTCATTTTCCTTAATTAATTTTGTTCAGAAGTACTTGCGCAAGCTGAAATAAGTCGATCCTTTTTTACCCCTTTTAGTACAGATGATGGTAATTATAACTTTATTTACATAGATTGGAAAGTATACTTAGCTGAAAATTCAAACCATATTACGGATTGTGTAACGTCTTAAATATTTGGAGGACGATTGATCTTTTCTTAATAAACAGTCATAACAAAGACCTTTATACTTCCTCCACATTATTAGATATAGTTTGAATTCAAATTCTGGAGGTGTGTATTTTTTAAATTTCGTTACTTAGATTGAATCCTTGGACTGCGGGATATTATTACGTATATCTTAATGGAGAATAAGCACACTTTTATAATCCATATAATGCGACAGGTGAACAGATTTGTGGAAGTGGAACTCTTGGATAGATTGATTAAATCAGTAAATAAATTGACCATATGTTAAACTCAGCCATAATAATAATAGTATCTAAATAAACATCAGCATATTGGGGAATCTCAGATTTTAAGTTATCATTGTTGAAATGTCCTAATTTGTGTGATTATTGCGATTCTGTAGGAATTTGTTAAAAATGGTATAGGGTGTTATCTTATTTTACAACTCTTTCATTTACAAATGGATAAGGATGGCTCAAAGATAATGCCATATATGATAGTGTATAAGATTGTGGTATTATAATTGTTAAATAACCTAGGATTTCAATATTATGGTAATTTTTTATCATCTTAAGTGGCATCAATAAATTTAAATTTAAATGATCCTCATACAATGTTAAAGTTTTCATTTATATTTATATGTGTGGAGATCACTGGTTCAGTAACCTTAGAAGTGATAGGTGATGTATAATTATATTATTATGCACCTCCTTTAACTAGTGCATCAACTTTAAATTATTTTTGTGGTTCTAATTTAAAAATGACCAGGATTGATATTATTGGATTTAGTAGTAGTTCCTCAACTATGACAATATCTATTTTAATTCATAATGTTGCAACAACATCTGTAAACCCAGTTTCTTTTGGTATTAGAGACTTTGAAGTATTTACATATTAGGAGAATAGAATAATAATAGATGAGAGTCTTATCCATAAAGATGATTATCTCCTTATATTTGAAGGGATTTTTTCTTAATAGTATAATTGTGTTGAAGGATGTAGTAATTGTATTCGAGATATATGTGTAGAATGTTTTTCAGGATGGAATTTCGATACATATTCATAATAATGTATTCCAATTTGTGGAGATTAATAGATTATATACTAAGAAGAATGTGATGATGGTAATTAGTAAGCTAATGATGGATGTTACTAGTGTAAATTCTCTTGTCCATTAAATTGTATTTCATGTGAATATGGTTTATGTATATTCTGCAACAATAATTACCAATTGATAGATAATTTATGCCATTTTTCTTGTTAATTTGAGGATTAGAATAGTTTAATTAAATATGATATATAAATGAAAGAAGGTTATTATTGTCAAATGTCAAATTTCTAGAAAAATACATATCTTCATCATGTCATTATCAACAATAACCTTATATTAGAGGCTGTAGATATTTAATGTTAGATTTAGAATTATGGAATTTTTGCTTATTAATATAATAGATGTGAATAGAGAGAATCATAAAATTGTATAATTTCTATTTTGAATGAATGTTAAATTTGTATGAATAAATTTGAAAGAACTTTGAATGGTTAATGCATTCCTATTTGTAATAATGAAATTTATTAAGAAGATGTATTGATTGATAATTCTATTGAAAATTATTTTGTATGTAGTAAATGTCAATTAGAATGTTTAGAATGTCATAATTCATTTTGTTTTTAATGTTTATAAGGATGGAATGTAGTGGATTTCAAATGTGTATATGAATGTGGAGATGGTAAAATTGCATTAGGTTCATATGAATAATGTGATGATTAAAATTAAGATAGTGGAGATGGATGTTATGAATGTAAATTTGAATGTTCATATAATTGTATATTTTGTTATGGTCATCTTGAATGTGCAATTTGTAAAGAGTATTTTGAGATTAAAGATAATAATTGTATACCTATTTGTGGAGATGGAATTGTTATTGATGGATTAGAGATTTGTGATGATGGTAATGATATCAAGTATGATGGATGTTATGATTGTTAATATTCTTGTAGAGAAAATTGTTAAATTTGTGATCATTAAAATTGTTTAGATATTTGTGATTAAGGGTATTATTATTTAAATAATGAATGTATTTCTATTTGTGGTGATTTAATAATTGCTAATAATGAATAATGTGATGATGCTAATGATGATCCATTTGATGGATGTGATTCATGTTTCTTTTCATGTCCTTTAAATTGTAATAATTGTTATTAAGGATATTGTTTTAATTGTAATTTAGGTTTTATTATGAATAAAAATAATTGTTAAGATACTTGTGGAAATGGATATAAATCTGATATAGAAGAATGTGATGATGGTAATCACTTATCTTTAGATGGTTGTTCAGATATTTGTATAATTGAAATATATTGGACATGTTTTGAAGAAGATTTCAATAAAAGTTTATGTTTTTAAATTATACCTCCTCATTTTAATTTAATACTTTTAAATTAAACATATAATATCTAATATGTCTAATTATAATTTACTAATTAAATTAAATTACTAGATTCATCATAAAATTTAACTTAAAACTTTAAAGCCTATCTTGTTGATATTGATCCTTCTCATTATATTATTAGCAATGTATTAATTATTGAACCTAATAATTTAAGTGTACATAATATCATTTATTAATTAAAAATTTAAATCTTAGAATAATTAATAACTGAAATATTTTTATAAGTTTAATTAAATACTGTATTAGTTGATTAAAATGGTTTTTAAGTTGATAATGATATTTGCAAAATTCGTATTAAAAATCCTATTGTATTAACAGATGAATAAAAGAAGATATCACATAAAATTTGCTCTTATAATATGACAATACTCATATTTCTAGGCTTATCAAGTTTGATTATATTGATGTCTGGTAATCCAGCAGAATGTTTTGAAATTCTAGATACAATATAATATTAAGCCAATCTAAAATTTATCAACATAAATTTTCCAGAAAACTTAATGATATATTTTGAATCTTCTGAAGTTGTTACTATACTTCCAATTTTATAAAAATTTTGGATTCTTGATATATTTTAAGATGTGATTGGATCATAATAATTATAAGCATTTGGTAAATTTTAAAATTATAATCTTAATTCTGATTTAATTACTAATTTATATGGTTTATTTGCTCAAATATTATTAGCAACAGTATTACTCATATTATCATATTGTTATTTAAGATTTATATTCAGAACTTGGTTTACTAAAATTAGAGTCTTTATTTATGATAATTAATCTATTATTGTTTCATATCACTTTGCATTTTTTATACATACACTTAATCAATTTAGTTTAGGATTACATAAAATATTATCATAATAAGGAATTGTTTATATTATTTAAGTGAATTGTTGGGATCTAATTTTTAAGACTTTACTCTATCTTTTCTCTGAAAAAGAAATGAATCCAAGAAATATTGCATAAACTATAACTGCAGTATTTATTTTAATTGCAATAGCAGCTTTGATGTCTCTCTTTTTTTAGTATTCATTATCTTAATTGAAACCAAATAAATCTACAAATTTTCGTCATGAAGGCTTTATAATAGCCAAAAAATTTTTAGTATTATTAATTTTAATAGGATCTTAAAGAAATCCTATTGTTTAATGTGTATTAATAGCATTCATAAATACTTTTTATATTACTCTAATTATTTTATGTAAAATGGTGAATAATAAAATTGATTTAATATCAATTCTTATTTTTGAAATACCTATTATTATATTTACATTGCTTAATCTTTCATTTGATTCAAATTTTGTTAATTATTTAAGTTAAGAACTTTAAGTTTTAATAGGATTTGTATAAATTGGTTTGTTGTCTATTGGAATTACTGCTCCATTAATTAGATATGCATCCTAAATCAAAATTAAATTAACTAAACTTATATTAAAATGGAAATAAAAAAAATTAAAAATACTATAAAAATAAACTCAATAAACAAATTTATTTTATTGAAATAAATTAACAAAAAAACTTTTATTTTCTAATTTTATGTATTTGAATATGATAATTATTTATTTACAAATAGTTAAAATATTTCATATTTTAAATAAAAATTAATCTCTATGAATAATTATTAAATAGTTATTCAAATACTTAAATAATTATTATTAATTATTGTTGAATGAAGCATAATTATACTCCAATTTTTATTTTCCTCTCATTCTTTACATTATATTTCATCTTGATGAGTGAATGTCTTAAAAAGATATTTATATTCATTGTTAAATTTTACATTTATAAACTAATACAAGATATTTGGGATGAATTTTAACTATTAATTGTTATTTATACTTATTAATTAAATACATAGAAAATAATATTTAATAAAAATAATATATATGTCATTACTTTTCTTAGTATTTTCTTATTTAAATTTCTGATGAATCACAATCCCATGTTATTAAATATTATTAATCTTATGTACACATACCCCAAATATGGCCATATGAATAATCTCCATAATCTATTGTTTATTCTAAAACAAATTAACAATTATTCTCATCATTCAAATTGATTTAATTACAATATCTAATAATATTAATTGTACATCCATTTTTATTAATCAAAATCTATTTATTAGAATAATAAATAGATGGAAATAAAAAATCACAAGATTATCCAACACCTCCAACTTCAAGTTATCCAGTTTTAATATAAAAATCATTTTCATCCTTTGAATAGATATTTAAATGATTATTAGAATTCTATTAAAATGTAAAAATATTATCATTTATATAACATAAACGATAACCTGATTAATCAATATTAATTTTCTATATTATTTACCAAAATTAATAATTTTTCTTATTCTTTGGTTCCATAATAAAGATTTATAAATCATCAGAACAAGAAAGTAATTAATTACCTTATTAATTTATTGATAATCCTTTAATTTCTTTTTTATGTTCTTTAATTATTTAACAACAAACCCAATTCTAAATATTGTACCATACTCTTATTGAACTATCATTAGAACTTGAAATTATAACATCTTAATCTATAGGATGTATAATTATATTAGAAATCCAACTTGAATGTCCATCTAATTATTGAATGTATTTAGAAGAGGAAATTAAATTAGTGGATGAAATTCGAATAGATGAATCAATTGAACCAATTATGAATAAGGATTTATTTTCAAATAAGTTAAGTGTTGTAATATCTTTTCTAAACATATTCATATATTGGAATTATTTAAGTTGTCCTTATCTAAATTAAAAACATTTTATAGCTTTGTCGGCCGTTGCCAAAACTAATGAATTATCCTTTTTTATAGCTAATGCTGTGCAATATTCTTTTTATTTGATGGAATATTCTCTAAGTATTTCATATGAAAATGTTTTACGATCTGATTATATAACTATATCAGACATAAAAAACTATATTTATAATTCATGATTGAAAATAACAATTAAATTAAAAATATAATAGTAATTTAATGTTGTAATGAAATCTAAAGGAGATGTAATAATTATTCAAATGAATTGAGATTGTTAAATATTTTATAACNCCCCAAATATGGCCATATGAATAATCTCCATAATCTATTGTTTATTCTAAAACAAATTAACAATTATTCTCATCATTCAAATTGATTTAATTACAATATCTAATAATATTAATTGTACATCCATTTTTATTAATCAAAATCTATTTATTAGAATAATAAATAGATGGAAATAAAAAATCACAAGATTATCCAACACCTCCAACTTCAAGTTATCCAGTTTTAATATAAAAATCATTTTCATCCTTTGAATAGATATTTAAATGATTATTAGAATTCTATTAAAATGTAAAAATATTATCATTTATATAACATAAACGATAACCTGATTAATCAATATTAATTTTCTATATTATTTACCAAAATTAATAATTTTTCTTATTCTTTGGTTCCATAATAAAGATTTATAAATCATCAGAACAAGAAAGTAATTAATTACCTTATTAATTTATTGATAATCCTTTAATTTCTTTTTTATGTTCTTTAATTATTTAACAACAAACCCAATTCTAAATATTGTACCATACTCTTATTGAACTATCATTAGAACTTGAAATTATAACATCTTAATCTATAGGATGTATAATTATATTAGAAATCCAACTTGAATGTCCATCTAATTATTGAATGTATTTAGAAGAGGAAATTAAATTAGTGGATGAAATTCGAATAGATGAATCAATTGAACCAATTATGAATAAGGATTTATTTTCAAATAAGTTAAGTGTTGTAATATCTTTTCTAAACATATTCATATATTGGAATTATTTAAGTTGTCCTTATCTAAATTAAAAACATTTTATAGCTTTGTCGGCCGTTGCCAAAACTAATGAATTATCCTTTTTTATAGCTAATGCTGTGCAATATTCTTTTTATTTGATGGAATATTCTCTAAGTATTTCATATGAAAATGTTTTACGATCTGATTATATAACTATATCAGACATAAAAAACTATATTTATAATTCATGATTGAAAATAACAATTAAATTAAAAATATAATAGTAATTTAATGTTGTAATGAAATCTAAAGGAGATGTAATAATTATTCAAATGAATTGAGATTGTTAAATATTTTATAACAATTAAGATTGAAAACTTTTAAAATAGTATAAGTTTAAACAAAATTTTTGATTTTGCCATTTTGATAATCCAAATAATATAGAGCTTTTAAATTGATTCCATTTTAATAAAAAATACAGAAATAATTATGTTATTGTTTAAGATAGATTCTAATTTCTTAAATATATATGTTTTATAGGGAATATTTTTCCAAAATCGTTTAGTTTTTTTTAAAATTTTAAATCTGATCAAATTTCTATTTTGATATTGTTAGTATAATCATAAATAATCTTAGATCTAAAGGTTTAAGTATTAAATTAAATATGAAGACCATATAATAGCCGAATTAAGTTTATAACATTTAAGAGTAAGAATCAATTTTTATACAATTATTACAACATTTTTTCTAATTCTAACTAAATATTGACAGATGTTAATAAAATTTCTAATTAAAATTTTAAGAGATTGTTTTGTCATGGAAAGGCATCCTGGAGAATAATTTGAATCAAAAGAAAAATAGTTCAAGTATGAATTACTTCCTTAGAGGAATTATTTATAATAGAAAATGTGTTGGGCCATTGCTATTAATCATAATAATAAATTTTTAGTTACAGGTGCTGAATCAAACATCAATGTATTTTAATTCAAGAATGGAGAAATCAAAAAGATTCAAATAATTTAAAAACATCAATCTTGGATAACTACTCTTAACTTTTGTAATTAAATGTCTTTAATAATCTCTGGATCATCCTGCGTTAAAATATGGTCTCAAAATCTATTTTCTAATCCAAAATGTCTTTTTGTACTTTCTGAGCATTCCTCAATGATTTAATGTATAGTTTATCGTTATTACAATCCTTCTATTATTATTAGTGGTTCTAGGGACTCTACAATAAAATTTTGGTATTAAAAAGAACTGTAATGGATTTGTTAATAAACTATTAAAGAGCATTCAAATTCAGTTGCTTCATTATCTTTAAATTAAGAAGGCAATGTGCTAATTTCTTGTGGAGATGATCATCAAATATTAATCATAAAATATATTGATAATCAGAAATGGAAAATTATTTAAAAAATATAAGGTTAAGGAGTAAGATTATCCTTCATTACTAAAGAGACTTTTGCATTTTAATCTTGGTAGTCAAATAAACTTTTGCTCTATAAATTTGAGTAGTAGACAGAATTATATTTGAAAACTAAAGAATTACAAATAAAAGGAAGTTAATAATTTTGCACTTTTTTATTTCCATGTATTTTCATTCCTTCAAAAAACATTTTACTTTCTAAAAATGGTTATAATTTGAATATAATACGATTTAATCCTTCAAATTTTGATGGCCATTTAGAGTAAGCAATTGAATTTGATTATCCTAATAATTGGTTAGGGAATATATTTGGTACTATGAGTGAGGATGGAGAATATTTGATAACGTGGGATAGCAAATCAAAATAATTATAAATTAGATAATATAAAGAGATTGATTTATAAAAAAGTACAACCATTAAAAAAAATTGCAGAATATTTTGATTATTTCATGTTCAATATGAAAATAATCAAATTAAACATTGATTATTAACATTATTCTAAAAGATGATTATATAAGTTTTAAAATTGTCTATATCCAATTTTTAAGCTTTCTTTAATTTTAAAAATTCATTCATCGATTATTTAGTACATTTTTATTTTAAAAAAGATAAATAAATTATTATCTTATTTATATCTAATAATAAGATGAAGTACATAAATATTACCTTTTCTTTTAGATCAATAATAATTAAAATTATTTTCTTTTATAATTCCTAAAATCAAAACAACAATTGTATTCAAATGGATCACCAAGATATCAATCTAAATTTCTACCAAATCTTGCTTTAGGTACAAATTTTTTATATAAAAAATAATTATATTTTTTTTAAATCACTATTATTAATCAATAAATTTTCAATCTTATTATTATTTTTTTATTTGTTTTTTTACATATTATTTCTTCTTTATGAGTAATATCCATCATGTATTTATTATAAGTGTTTATAAGAACATTATTATAAATTATTTACTTATTTATAAATATTTGATTCTGAATATATATTTATGGAGAGAATTGAACAAAATGTTAAGTATACTAATAAAACTTTATAGACAAGCTTTTTATTGAAATAAAAGGATTATTTATATCTAAATGATTTGTATTTTATTTTAATTTGATTTCCTATCTTGGCTTGACATTAGCTCTAGTACCAAAGCTTTTATTTAATTTTTCATATATTAATAATTAAGACTTGTTTATTTAATCATTAAATATATAAAATATTAATATTAGGATTTAACTCTACATATTCATTGAAATTTTGAAGATCCTATTTAAATTTGGACATTACCAAATAAGTATTTCCTTATATATTATTTTTTTTTATTTCTTTTAGATGTAGAGTATCATTAATTAGACAATAGTATTGTGAAATTATAGATAGACTGTCTAAATTAAACAAATTTTCAATGGGGAATAATAAACATTAGCTTAATTTAAAATTACAACTAATAATTTTATACTTTTAACGCCTTGAATCAATAATGAATTATGAATTTACTCTTTGTATTGAATAAGTAACTTCAAATTTTGTTTATAAAATAGTAATGTATTTAAATAAGAGAGAGATATTTTAGAATTACAAATTCATTTAGATATGTTTTATGATATTTTTGGTAAATAACCTAAATACTGAGATTAATGTAAAAAAGAGATTAAATTTCTTATAGCTTTTTTGGAATGTTATAATATAATCAACTTACTTATGGTTATTTCTTTAATCCTCTTTATTAATTAACTATAATATAGTTTTTCTTTTTGATTAATTTTAGTTTTAAAATAGAAGCCAAATTAAAATAGTATTAAGAATGGAACTTATTGATTATGTCATTTTTTAATTTATACTATTAATAAAAATAATTAAAAGAATTATAATCATTAATAATGATTATCAAAATGAAATTAATCATCTATATTACTGCTTAAACAGTTATATATTAGTTTGATGCAAATTCTAACTTATTAGATGGTATTTTATTATAATTTAAATGTCTTAGATTGGTAAGGTAAGTCTAATTTCTTCACATGTGGAATGTTTAAATATTTTGGGTCGAATGGGTCTAATAATATTAGCAGAATATTTTTAGATATAGACCCTCATTCTCATTATAGAGTGGATGTAGAAGTTTTAAGGTATGTAAAAATCTAAATTAGCATCGATAGTTATAAAGTACCGAAGTTTTATATAGATAATGCATTGGCCCATCAAGAAATATAAATGCCACCATATGAAGATTAAATTTGTGGTAAATCACTATTTGATTCTATAATAATAATATCAATATTTGGCTAACATAACAGAAGAACTTTATGGGTTAGTATATGTTTAGTTTATTGAGGATTAAAGACTTTTAAATTAAGTATCATCAAATGTTAGAATGAATGTGAGGCATGTATTGATAATTATCCTGAAAGTTATGTAGAATGGAAACTATATTAATATTCATTAAATAAGAAATTGATTACATTTGCTGATGTATGGAATTTTTAATTAAATTAAATAAGTGATTTTTATTGTGGACAATGTTAATATTTGAAATTTCAAGTCATCAATTATTTTACTGAGTTACCTCCTCATTAAAACATATTATTAAGGTTTTATAAGAAGACTTCCTTTTAGATAGTGATTGACTATGATATGGATTCTAAATAATTACTGATGAATACTATAAGTTAGCAGAAATATTAATTAAAAATCATCCTAATCCTATATTAAAATTGAATATATATAACTAGGATGTTAATTAATATAGTTTAATTAGAGATATCGAACTATTTTATTCACTTCCAGAAATAAATTTTCAAAATTTTTTTCCAGGTTGTTTAGATTAAATAAATAATTAATGTCTTATTTGTCAAGAACGGTGGAGTTAGGATGAATTTCTTTAGAATTCTCAGCCGATATGTTGAGATAAAATTATTCAAGGATAAGAAGAATGTGAAGATGGAAATCAAATATCTAATGATGGCTGTTTTAAATGTTAATTTTCATGTGAGAATATTTGCAAACCTTGTTAATTTGGAATTTGCTCCGAATGTGAAACTGGATTTATTCTTAATATAGATAATACTTGCATTCCTTTATGTGGAGACGGTATTTTAATACCATATTCAAATGAAAAATGTGAGATTGAAAGTGATTAAGATGAATGCAAAGACTGTAGATTTACTTCAATTCCTAATTGCAAAACTATTTATTTTTCAAATTGTTTAGAATGTTACCAAGGATTTTTTAATTTATAATTTGTATGATATCCTAATTGTGGAGATAATTTGATTCTTGAATAATATGAAGATTGTGATGACGGGAATTTATAACCTTATGATGGTTGTTATGAATGCAAGTTTCAATGTATTGAAGGATGCAAGATTTGTGATAGAGAATAATGTATATTCTAAAATGTTTAGATGGATACGAATTTGTTAATAATTCTTGTCTTTCTATTTGTGGAGATGTCATTATAGCATAGGAAGAGGATTGTGATGAAGGTAATACTATAGAATTTGATGGATGTTTTAATTGCAAATATTCATGTCCTCTATATTGCCTTAATTGTCAATAAGGTACATGTTTATAATACCAGAATTATGAATAATAACTTAATATGAAATTATAAATGAATTGTGGAGATGGACTACTTTAAAAATAAGAATAATGTGATGATGGAAATGATTAAGTAGCTGATGGATGCAAGAATTTTCAAATTGAAGAAAACTGGAAATGTATAACAATACCAAAAGATTCTAGAAGTTAATGTAATAATGTTAAAACCCCAGATTTAATAATTTATTATCTAAATATGACTTAAAACTATTAGTATATTAAAATTTAATTTAGTTAATAAGTTAAAACATACGCATCTTAACTATTATCTCAAACTATTACTTTAGAATTAATAAATATTACAAAACAACATTGGAATAGTAGCCTATAAATAATACAGGATGTTGTGTAAAATTTGACTTTTGGAGAGTACATTTTAATAAAAGAAATTTTATAGTTACTTGATTTTCATCCAGTTTTGAAAATATTAATTAATTAGCCTGTTTTTAATAGTGATAATACTTTATTGAATCAATATTAAAAATCGATAACATTACAGAATTCAAAATATTTAAATGAAAAGTAGATATTTTATTCATAATTGTTAAAAAAATCAAATAAATATTTGACTTATGGTTCAACAGGAATAGCTACAATTAGTTTATTATTTGGAAAAGGATAATTATTTATTGAAATTTTGAGTATCCTATAATTTTAACAATACTTAAGATACATAAATCTATAATTTACTTTACATTTAGAAATATATTTTACATTTTATGATTTGATACATAATATTAAAGATTAATATAGAAACTATAACTGTCTAACCATTATTAGATTTTATTAAATTTCCGTTAATCTTTAAGATAATGAATATTAAACCAGAATATTCTCGAAGATAATTAAACATATAAAAATAGAATTCAAATCTATTTATTAATCTTTCATCTCAAATAATTTAATGCTTACTATTTTTATCTCTTATTTTAATATTAAAATGGATCAAAAGTAGTGTTTATAATAAAATATTTTGTCCAAGATACTTTGAATATATGTCATCAATTTAATTATTTCAAAAACTTAAATTGTTTAATTCAGTTCAACTTTATATAAAATTTGCCTAAAATTAATAAAACTAGAATATTTAATGTCTAATTAAGGGTTATAAAATTGTTACTTCTCAATAGTTGGGATGTAACATTTAAAATATTTTTTTGTATTCAAAATATTTAGATATATAATTATTTAGATATTTTTAAAATTTTTTTAGCAATAATGATGTTTATAATATATTTTGGAATTGCAATAAATCCATTTAAATTTTAAACAAATTTTACATATTCTGTATTGAAGATGAACCAAAGACAAAGATTTGAAGTTCTCAATTATATTAGATAAGTGCTTTTTTTATTATTCTTAACATATACATAAAACTCCCAGATACTTTAATTAAGACAATTAATCTTAACATCTGAATTACAAATGAAATTGATATATTACTATCGGAATAACTTTGAAAAATATAATTATATTGTTTAGATGATTGTTGAATTTTTAGTACTCATTTTTATGCTCAGTTCTTTTTTATATATTTAAGAGTTTAATCAATTTTTTAATGAAGAGAAAAAGATTTTATTAGGTTGGTTCTAGACAATAATACTTTCTTAAAGAATTTTCATTAAATCAATTATGATATGTTAAAAACTATCAAGAAGTCTTTAATCAAAATTTTAAACTATATAGGATAGTTCAAATAATATAAAAAGTTGATCATAAAATCTTTATTCATATCAATATAATTATTTTATTTTTTTCCTTTTTATTATTATATCAAATATATTAAAGATATTTCTAATCTTCTAAATAAATTATGAATGAAATATTTTATAATAGTGATCAGTATCACAAGCCAGATCTTAAAATTTAATAATATCTGTTAAAGTTGTAATATAAATAATGAACAATTTCATCATATATGTTTTAATAGCAAGTAAAAGACCAGTCTAAATTTGCAATATTGATTAGATAAGATAAGTTAGAATGAGATCATAATACATTAAATTAGCATTATAGAGAGAGATTATAGATTGAGTAAAATTATTTGGATATAATATCAAATATGAGTTGAAAACAAATGTAATCATTTTTAATATTACATTTCTTACTAATTTATATTGAGAATAAGATTATTTGTACAATTTGATGAATTTCAATCATTATTAGAGATAAATTTTTCTAATTTCAATTATATTTTGAAAAGGATTCTTTAAAGTTAGTCTTAAAAAGTCTCTAAGTTTTGCTTTTTAATATTTACATCTTTAATGAATTATTAGGTGTTTGATATCTAAATATTATTTTACAAATAAATTAAATTTTGAAGCTTATATAATAGAAAATTTAATATGTAGATTGATCTGATATTCACAAATCATTACATAATTTATAATGATTCTCTGGATTCTTAAGAAAGTAAAAGATAATTAGGATCTATTTTTATCAATAATAACATCTAAGAATGATGATAAAAAAAGGGTTTATCAGAATTAGCTATAATGAATCACTGTATTACATTTTTATTTTTGAAATTAAATAAAATATAAAAATATAATTTATGAATAACTCATAATAATAATATGATGAACAATAGAATTCAAAGAGATTTGATACTCAATTGAATAAATAGACCTAAAATCTATTAAGACGGCAATTATCTTAATAATAATTGAATAATACTTGGAAACTCTATGGTTTTAATATAATTTTGATAGTTCTAAAATTTATTTAGGCAATTACTAAGTAAAAATTTAAGAATTCTTTTAATATGCTTAATCATTAATTTTTTAAATTACTGAAGGATAGTACAGCTGATTATCATTATTATTTGTATAAAGGATATTTTGAAGAAGTTAATCTTTAATCTTATATGATTAAATTGGATAAAACATTCAATTTCTTATAATGTAGTAACTTTGATTAAAATAGATTTTCGAAGAAATTATATTAAACGAATCCTGTAGATGTTTTTATTAGAACCAGATGACATAATAATAATAATTTGGAATATTTATTTTTTGTTGATTGTTACTATAAATGTATTTTATGTTTCATTAAGATTATCATTTGAAGAAATAGTTGAAATGAATTGGGATTTAAAAGATTTTATATTTGAATAATTGCCAAGTTATTCATTCATATTAGAAATAATTATAAAATTTAATACTTGTATTTATAGTAAAGGAGTACTTATAAAAAACAGAAAAAGATTAATAAAGAGATATCTAAAGAGAGAATTTTTGATTGATATGCTTTTAATCATTCCATTTTTTATTGGAAGATAATTAGATTTTTTTTATTTAGATCTAGTAATAATTTTGAAAATGTTTTAAATATCAAAATTAACATATTCATTATTTAATCGTTTAGAATTGACATAGTAATAAACAGCTATTTTTGAACTCATAAAATTGATGTATAAATAAATTAATAAAAAGATTTTTCATTTTATTTTGTGCACATTTTTCTGCCTGCATATGGCATAAATTAGGAATATGGGGAAATTGGGGAAATATAACTTCAATAACATGGATTAAATAACAATAACTTTAAGATTCTTTATGGATTGATAGATATATTGTATCTTTCTATTGGAGTATTGTTACAATGACAACTATTGGTTATGGTGATATCACTCCTGTTAATTTAACAGAAAGACTATTTTGTATAATTATGACATTAATATCAACTGCAACCTTTGCTTATTCTGTAAATAGTATTGGATAAATATTTAAAGATATGTCTAAACAATCTACTTAATTTAAAACAAATATGAATAGTTTAAATAAATACTTAAAAAATTAAAAAGTATCACCAACTTTATAAATAAAGTTTAGAAGATATTTTGAATATTTTTGGAGTAAACCTTCTTAAGAAGTTATCCAATTTCAAGATTAGATTCCTTAATAATTAAAGAATTAAATGATTGTAGAAATTAATATTAAATTACTAAAATAATTAGATTTATTTAAATAATTTAGTAATTCTTTACTTAATACATTATGTTTACAATTATAAGAATAATAATTATAACCAGATGAATATTTATTTAAATAAAATTATTTAGCTGATAAATTATATATTTTTGTAAATGGATAAATAGAAATATATGTTTTGATTAATAAAAAAAAAAGAATTATTGAAAAAATAAAGACTCCATGTTTAATTGGTTAATTGAATTATTTTCTTAATAATGAATATAATTTTGAAGCTATTGCAACTAAAAATACTAAGATATTAACTATTGATAGATAATCTTTAATAGCAAACATAAAATAGAGTGACATTGATTATGTATAATATTATATAAATATAAGGAAATTTATAAGAATTTTGAAGATGATATAAGATTATAAAATAAATTTGAAAATATCTCAATTAAATGTTCAGTTTGTGGTAAAACAAATCATTAAGTTCTTACTTGTCCACTTTTTAGAGGATGTATAAACAGAACAAAAGTATTATATCATTTGAGACATAATATATTATAATATAGAAGATTTTAATTAAGAAATAATCATTATAGAAGAATATCAACTAAATAACATTAATTTTATATCATGGAAAGTGTATTATAATATATAATGAAGAATGATGAACTCTGTAGTCTAGAAGGAATCAAAAAATGTAATATCTCAATTTAAATTAGAATATCAAGCAGTCATGAAATAGTAATAATAATATGAAGAAAAGATAATTTAAACATAATCAAATCAATTAACAAACCAAATATCATAATCTTAAAATATACCAATTTCAATTAATTGTAAATCTAATTCCTCATAAATATATAATCAGAATTTCTAAAAAAATAATAATTTATTATAGAACCTAGAAGTTCTTTCAGAAAAATAAAATTAATTTGGTACTTTAAGTAAATCATAAGATATTAGATTAATAACAACTTTGAATAATTAAAAAATATAACCTATATTAGAAGAATCACATAAAGATGAAATTAGAGATAATTAAAATAATATTACAGTTAATATTAGCTAATAATTACCTTATGTTTATAAATAAGAAAATTCAATCATACCATCAAATGATACTGGTACAAAAGAACCATATTGGATTCAATAAAGAATAGGAAAAAATACTCATTCTATAAAGTAGAGATTTGAAAAATAACGTACAGAATATATTCCTTAAAAAAATAAGTTAAAATAATTTAAAAGTTTGCTTTCTGAAAGAGAAGATAATCGTGAAAAGTTTACTAAATAATTTGGATTTAATAAATTATTCATTACATCATAATTATAGAAAAAAGAACTTTAAGAATAATAGATGATAAATAGAAAAAATAGTTTAAATGATTATATTTATTAAATTGAAAAGACATAGGAAAATTTATAAAAAAAAGCAAATAAAATTGAAGAATCACATTTTGGATTAGAAAATTCAATGAGTCATTCTATTAAAAATAGCACTCCTAGACCTAATATTGATATTTATTAAGTTAATGAAAATAATGATTAATATTATCATTAGGAAAAAGATTTAACAAATTTATATTTAGAAGAATAGATAATCAAAAATAAATAAAGATTTGGTGAGAAATAGATATCATTTTAGGAATCTAATTAAAATTAAATTCTTCATTTTCCAGAATAAGATTTTAAAGCATTAGAATAAAGTATGATGACTTAGTATGAAAAACTTAAATAAAAGGAAGAATAATTAAAGTAATAGATAGATAGACAATAAACAATAATATCTCATAATAAAGAAAGTAAAGAGAGTAGTGATAATAATAATAAAATTAAATATAGAGGGTTAGGTATTAAAATAACCTCTGATGATTCATCAGATGAAGATACTGATGGACATAAATTAATTAGAGGATAATATCTTGAAATCTTTAAAGATTTTGAAAAAGTAAAGGAATATTAAGGATATTATCCAAATAATAATATATCCACAATTCTATTTTAAGTATATTTTAATCTAATATTATTCTAGTTTTATAAAAATGAATTTAACATAGAGCATAATTTTAAGAAGAAGAGAAATGCAAAAAAAGATACTATTATGAATTTACTAAAATAAGCATAACATTTGATTCGGAAAAGTTAATAATGAATAATATTATATTTCTTATTTACATCTTAAATAATCATTTTAATTAATATTTTTTTTGCTATATTGATAAAATATATAAATAATAGTATACTTTTGATAAATTCTTATTAATTAAATATTAAACTTAAAATAGTTTGAATATTAATTTAACACTCTTATCAAAATGATTATATAAAACTAAAATATATTTAAGAAATCTGGATTAATTTAATACAAAAGATTATATCAAATCTTAAGGAAATGGGAGAATGTTGGTATTAATAAATAAAGATTGATGGATTTGTAGAAAGTACTTAGAGTTTAATATTTGATATTAAATAAAAAAAACAATTAGAAAAACAATAACTTTCTTAGCTGTTAAAAAATGAAAAACCGCAATTTGGTTAAAATTAATTATGAATTTATCCAAAATTTCAATCGTATATTATTGTTTCACTATTCATTGATCCATATCTTGGCAATTTGTGGGATGAAGTTAGAACACAAATAAAACCTATTAAAAATAACAACGCAGGGATAAAACTTAATTGTTCTTAGTTTGTTTCATAGGTAACTAAACCTACCATGATTGATAGTATTATGAAAATGCTCCCAATAGATAATTGTATCCAACAGCAACATTATTAAAAATAGGTCTTGCGGCACAATCTACAAATTGGAAATTCTTCATCATCCATTATGAATAGAAAAATTATTATTAATTTGTTCGAAATGATTTTGTATGAAACTTTTCAACCTACCCTTATTTGTAAATAAAATTATTTAATTTAAATAAATAATCCGTAATAATACATCATAATTATGTTGTATTAAAATGCAAAAATTAGAGTTTTGAAAGGTAGTCATTTTTTAATTTTTTAGGAGTACAAAAATATCGAAGTTAAACAGGGCCTTTTAAATAACTATATTTCAAAATAAAAATATAAATCTTCTTTATTGGTTAATCCTCTTTTAGCTTTTACTTTATTAATGCATACACAAATAATTTTAAGTAAGTTGACTTTATAATTAAATACAATTCAGAAGGAAAAGCTGCTTTAATCAACCCATGATAAATCAAAACAGACTAATACATAATTAAATAATATAAGCAAAGATTACAATTTAATATTAATAATAAAATCAAATAAAGGACATAATTTTTACATAAAATTAATTCTTTCATCAAAATTCAATTTTAATTAATAAAATTTCAGTTTCGGTCTCATTCACAACTGATATTTAGAAAATTTCTAGTTTTCTTTCTTAAATATTAATTATTAATTCTTTTTCATATTCCAAAACCTCCAAAAATATTGCATTTTAAAATAAGGTATTACTTTTATCTGGACAATAATTTAAAGATGATAATTATTCTGGATTAAATGAACCACAACCTCTAAAATAGCTTTCAATTTTCATTTATTCTTAACATTAGACATAAATTTATAAAGTAATAGAAGAAATACTCTAATCTAAAACTAAATTAGTTTAACCAATTCCTCTAAAATTTTCATCTAATTCATCAATATACAAATGGAATGAATTCATGTAATCAACTTATAAACCATAAGATTATTAGATTCTCATATGAGCACATTCTAATGGAGGAACTAAAATATAAATAAAATATATACCAGGAGTGCATTAATTATCTAAATATAACCATTTTTTATAACAAGAACTACATTAAATACCTAATTCTCCTATGCATTCTTTACAACCTATCGAACATTTAGCTACATACAAGTCAAATGATTAAACCCCCCAATACGCAACCTTTTGTATTTATTAATTTGTTTTCATTTCTAATTGTATTTGATGAGATGTATGCAGCGCATTTACAGCAATATTAGTTATATTAACTTTTTGTTAAGTACCACATTCTACTTTTAAAGGAGTCTAAATAAATAATGGGAATGAATTTTCAATTTAATCATCAATTTTCAAAATAAAATTTTCACCATCCCAATTACCAATAACCCAAAGTTTAAGAATTATTTAAACTTTAAAGTGACTTGGAACAATATCAATGAGTTTTTTTATATTTTGTCCTTGTTGAAGAATATTAGTTCCCCCTGCAATTTCAATGCCAGCGCAAATACTTGAAATGAGTGGTTAAGTATTATCAATTTGCCATCCTTCAGAGTTAATTGAAGTTTGCCAATATGATGCAATATTACTCCAAAATTTACAATCAGATGTTTAATCTTGGCAAAATTAACAACCTTAAGGACAATCTAAAATTTCAATTTTGAAATCTTAAATTCCCCATGCTTCCTAAAATTAGAAAAATTTATACATTATAATACTCATTTACATTTGAAGTCATTATTAAAACAAGAGATTAAGAATAGTGTTATTCCAAAGTAAAGCTTAATGGAATAGAAAAATCCATGGCTAAATAATGTCTAATACCACAAATATCCTATCCTTCAGGCCTTGTAAATTACCTTGTAAATTCTAAAAATCAAAATTATATTTACTTCCAAAGTTTAAGTGAAAATTTTACAGAATAATGAGGTGGTAGTTTCAAATGTGAAGATAGTAAGGAAGATGGACCAAAAACGTAATATCCTCCAAATAATTTTTAGTCAGCACAGAAACTAAATGGGTCCCCATAAATATTGGATGTTTACCATCCTAATGATAGAAATTAAATAATACCTGATGTATCCCATTTTGAGTCTGAGAAAAATTCAGAATAAACAGTTTTCCAAACTTCTTCAGCTTATGTAAGGACAATTAAAAAAAATTACTAGTAGAATAATTTATTCATTAAATTCTTATTGAAATAATAATAAATAAATGTTTAAATATAGTAGAGAAGCAATAATATTGGTTTAATAAATATAATTGACAAAAAAAGATGATTTTAAAATAATTAGAATGAATTTTTATTCTGTAAAATTTATATAAGTATTGAAATTATTTTTTAATTTAAATAATTAAATTTAATTGAGGATTGACTAAAAATTATTGATATCTTATATAATGCATCTCTTTCTTAGATAAAAAGTATTTTAAATAAAATAAACAAACATATTAATTTTATTAAAATGTTGATGGGGTACTTTGATCAATTTTAATATAAAACCTTATATTTGGGGATAAATTTATAACAATGAATTAATTTGACATAAAAAATAAATAAATCATGTTGATTTTTTTTTTTTAAAGCAATGAAAGACTTCTAATAAGTAAATAAAATGAAGTAAAGTAAATGGAAATTTGATATTTCCTTTATTCTGAAATTATGATTACACTAAATAATTAAATTTGAATCATTTTTGCCAAATATAAATTTCACAGCTATAAAAATCTCTTCTCTAATTATACCAGAATAAAGACAATATTTTTAATGCAAATCAAACTAATCAATTAGCTTAAAATTATCCCTAGAAAGTTTATTCTCAGGAATTTTTAAATTTAATTTTTTAAAAGTGCAACTTCTCTAATAATCGTCATCATTTATTAAATAAATTTAATAATAATTTCTCATAGTCTTAAAGCTAATTCTTTATAGAAAAATATATATAAATGAATTAGATTACTATAATTTCAAACTATTTTTTTTTTAAATTTCAAAATAGAGTCTTCAAAATAATTTATTTTAGGAATAATATTTTCTATTGATTTTTATGGAGTTTTATCCTATCGTAGAGTGTGCATATCTATACTTTGGTTATTATTTTATTTTAATATGTTTATTATTGAGTAATTATTATTCTAAATTTATAAGTATCAAAGATTGGAAAAGCGAGATATTTTTTTTTCTACTTTAATTTAAATAACAAAATGCTCTCCCAACAGTTTTAAGAAACTTTGCTTAACATAAAACTATCAGTTAAACCTAAATGGATGTAGTTTTTTAATTTATTTTTGTGTTTTAATGTGTTATAAAGATATATTTGATAATATTTATTTCATGATAATAAAATATCATTAATTATATGTTACTTTAACCAAAAAATACGTAGGTTTAGCTAGAATCATTGTTAGGAACTAAAGAATACGAGGTAAACAAATGGGATGAAATAAAAGGAAAAATAGCAAAGGTTAAAATTTAAATCACTATCACAACAGAAAACTAAATAATTTACTCATTGGATGGTGTAATTTTGAGAAAGTATGTGATCATTTTATTTACTCAAGGGAATTCTTTCAAAACGATACTAGAAATCCAGAAATTTTGACCTCAATGGAATAAATCTAATTCCTTAAATGGTAAGGTCAATATGGACTGAACAAAAGAAAATTAGGTAAATGGACAGCAACTTGGAATGGGCATAATATTTGGAAAGTTAGTGGATACTATGAGAACGGTTTAAAGTAAGGTTTATGGATAAGTTTATGAAAGTGGAGAATACATTAATGATTAAAAATCAGGAAGATGGAATTACATCTATGATAACAAAACTATGTATTAGTATCTGTTTAATTAGTGGTGGAGGCTAATATAATGAATATAATTAGAAGAAAGGTAAATGGATAGAATTAAGTGAGGCCTTTCAGAACGAGAAAAAATTAACTTTTAGTTTTGATTATAAAAATGGGAAAAAAGTTGGTATGTAGGATATCTTTTGGAATAATGTGAGAATGTAAAAAATAATATTTAAAGAGAATTTAATAATAATAATAAATTTTTTTGTTTAAGTGGGGGTGGATAATATGATGATAAAGGTACTGAGATTAAGTAGGGTAATTGGGTAGAAATATCAGATAATTTCAACTTCACATCTTAAGTAACATACAATGGCTAATATACAAATGGTAAAAAAATTAGTAGATGGAATATTTGGTATAAAGACGTTGAAATGGGATTTGAAAAAACTAATATAATGATGTATAAATATTATACAAAGTTCCAATAGAGGTGGTGGATCATATGATATAACTGGTACCGGACTTAAGTAGGGTAATTGGATGGAAATATCTGATAATTTTTATTGTGTTTCTTAAGTAATGTACAATGGTGAATATAAAAATGGTAAAAAAATCGGTAGATGGAATATAGAGTATAAAGGAGATTAAATGTAAATAATATTTTATTTAAAAGGACAACTCATAGAGGGGGTGGATCATATGATGAAGCAGGTGATGAACTTAAGTAGGGTAATTGGACTGAAATATCAGATAATTTTTGGAATCTTTCTTAAGTAACATATAATGGTAGCTATATGAATGGTAAAAAAATCGGTAGATGGAATATTGAGTATAAAGGAGATTAAATGTAAATAATATTTTATTTAAAAGGACAACTCATAGAGGGGGTGGATCATATGATGAAGCAGGTGATGAACTTAAGTAGGGTAATTGGACTGAAATATCAGATAATTTTTGGAATCTTTCTTAAGNGATAAGTTTATGAAAGTGGAGAATACATTAATGATTAAAAATCAGGAAGATGGAATTACATCTATGATAACAAAACTATGTATTAGTATCTGTTTAATTAGTGGTGGAGGCTAATATAATGAATATAATTAGAAGAAAGGTAAATGGATAGAATTAAGTGAGGCCTTTCAGAACGAGAAAAAATTAACTTTTAGTTTTGATTATAAAAATGGGAAAAAAGTTGGTATGTAGGATATCTTTTGGAATAATGTGAGAATGTAAAAAATAATATTTAAAGAGAATTTAATAATAATAATAAATTTTTTTGTTTAAGTGGGGGTGGATAATATGATGATAAAGGTACTGAGATTAAGTAGGGTAATTGGGTAGAAATATCAGATAATTTCAACTTCACATCTTAAGTAACATACAATGGCTAATATACAAATGGTAAAAAAATTAGTAGATGGAATATTTGGTATAAAGACGTTGAAATGGGATTTGAAAAAACTAATATAATGATGTATAAATATTATACAAAGTTCCAATAGAGGTGGTGGATCATATGATATAACTGGTACCGGACTTAAGTAGGGTAATTGGATGGAAATATCTGATAATTTTTATTGTGTTTCTTAAGTAATGTACAATGGTGAATATAAAAATGGTAAAAAAATCGGTAGATGGAATATAGAGTATAAAGGAGATTAAATGTAAATAATATTTTATTTAAAAGGACAACTCATAGAGGGGGTGGATCATATGATGAAGCAGGTGATGAACTTAAGTAGGGTAATTGGACTGAAATATCAGATAATTTTTGGAATCTTTCTTAAGTAACATATAATGGTAGCTATATGAATGGTAAAAAAATCGGTAGATGGAATATTGAGTATAAAGGAGATTAAATGTAAATAATATTTTATTTAAAAGGACAACTCATAGAGGGGGTGGATCATATGATGAAGCAGGTGATGAACTTCAGTAGGGTGTTTGGATGGTAATATCAGATAAGTTCTATTGTGTTTCTTAAGTAATGTACAATGGTGAATATAAAAATGGTACAAAGGTGGGTGTATGGGTATAAATGTAGAGAAAATAAGAGAAAATGGAGGAAGGATTCAAAAAAATAAAAGAAATCAAATATAATAATTGACATAATGTAATAATATAAAATAATAAGAAAATTTATGGACGATATATTTAAAAAATTATTTTTTCCTTTCTGATTTTTATTTAGAATTTAAATAAGTTTTTTTTTAATTTAACTATTTAGGATTTTTTAGATTTACAACAATTTTTTAGTTATCAAATTATTATTTAAGGGGTTAGTTATACTTCTTGATTTTTATACCTAAACTAGTAATACTAAATACATTTATTCTTATCATTAAATTTATTATTTAAGCTTAAACAGAAAAATTAAGCCTTTCCCAAATATTAGAAACATCATGAGTAATTCAAGTATGATTTTCGGTTTATAATTGAAATTCATACAACCTAATTTGCAGGGATGGTTTACAAAAATAAATTTAGCAAGTATCTTTGAATTGAAAATTCTTATATTATCACTTCTACTATTTTCAAACTTTAATTAGCTTAAAAAGTCAAAAAAAAATAAAATATTAATTCGAATTAAAAATTCTGGGGATACTTTTAGAAATTAACTTTGATTAAGTGGATTCTGCATCACAAATACTTCAATAAAGTAAGATTACTTTTCCAAATAGATGGATACTTAATTTATTACTCTATAATGCTTGACTCAGCACTTTTAATTAAAAATTTCCTGTAAACTTACTTTTTAAGACAAATCTGATGATATGTGTATACAAATCAAAAATTTTTATAAATTCTAATAATCAAAAAATCATTCCAAACATCCGAACATACTCTAATTATTTCAAACAGCAATGGTGGAGCGACTTTAGATTATTAGTTAGTCAAAGGTATGGTTATGAATTGAAGGATCGAACACTCATATCTAATCAACTTATTAATTTTTGAATTATTTATAAAATGAACTATAAATTATGGATTAATAAAGTAATCAATAAAAAATATTTAGAGATTTATGTGCAATCTAACCCAATTATCATTTAAATAAGACTTAAAACAGAATATATTTCCATGATTATAGTAAAATTAGTTAATAATAATGTTTATAATTTTCGTGAATAGAAGAACATATAAATAATTATAGAAAATATAAAATAAAAAAAATCATTAATTGACTTTATTACTTTTGATAATTTTTTTATGTATAAAATCTTAAATTAGATTTTGAAAGAAACCATTATCTATTTTTGAAAACAAATTTATAAATTATTAAAATAATCTAATCGTAATTTGAATATCATTGTTTTTTGATATTTCACTTAATTTATCCCTTTAAATTAAAAGAAAATGAATATATAACCTGTTTTAGTAGATAAAATATAGGTTAATTTTATTTTTTTGGAAGATTATTAATATTTAATAAAATATTCAAAATAAGAAAAATTGAACAAGATCTTGAAATAATAAATACTGAACAATTTAGTATACTTAAATTATTTTATAAAAGTAGAAATTAAATTAAATTAAATTTAAAAAAAGGATTCATAAGAAAATGGAATCTAAAGATAGAAATAATAAGAAATACAATTTTAATTTTCATATTGCTAAAATAAAGGTTAAAATAAATCAAGTCTACATTGAGTTTAAGTAGAATTAGTTTTCCAAAATACTTCTCCTTTTGGATTTTTATAATGATAGTAAATCAACGCCTTTATTATTGATGAATTCTCCTTTGAAAACTAAAGCTCCTTATGTTTAAAATGTTGCAGGTTAGGCAATAAGGGGGTTTCATAATATTATTGGAGACTAAAAAAATGTAAAATATGAATAAACCTTCTGAAAATGATTCGGTTCAATTTCTTATCCTATCTTAACATCCCATAATCTGATCGAGTTATCAAAACTCCCAGATGCTAATGCATTGCCATCAGGATAAAAACAGACTGATGTTAAATTCATTTTTTGTAATATTTATTATTCTAAATATCTTTGATTTGCATTATTTAAAAGATATCAACACAGTCTTAAGCTTTCTTCCTTTTGCAGTCTTTCTAGTATGATACCAAACATTTGCTCGTCAACATCTTTAACTTAAACATCCTTCCTATCTCATATTCTGTATTTATTTCATTAGTAATCCTTATATCGTAACTAATAAAATATCAGTATTATCAGTGACTTATGTATTTTCCTAAGGTATTTTAATCTCTAAAGCATATTCTTTTGGGTTTTGATGAATGAAATAATACAAATTTAAATAAAATTCGGTTTCATTTAACATTTACCATAAATATCATTCCCCATACATCTTAAATATCAAAAATGTTAAATCAAATAATTTAAATTTAATATTGAACTCTATATCTTTAATGATCACATACCATTAATAGCTAAAATGAAACATTCAGACATTTATTCAAAGTCACCAATAAATACAAATCAACCTTCTTTTAGGCTTTAAATACTATTCTTGAATTTCAAATCATATTCAGCCCCACATCCAAAAGCATTTTTTTAAATATATTTTATATCTTAAAACCAATCAAAATCTTTTTACATTTTGAATCTGCACCTTTGCCACATCTACACAAAAATTTAAGAGTAACAGACTTGTTACTTCAATATTGAAATAATAAGTTTAAAAAGTTTAAACTGCTTGTCTCTCTTTTTTTTTTGTATATTAGAGATGTTGTTTGAAAATAGAAGAATCCAAGGTGTATTAAGTAAAAAGTTAAAAAGATTTACTTGAAAAATTGATTAAAAGAGACTAAATGGCTTTTTTGATTCTTTAAAAAATGAATGGCTGTTTAGGTGTAATGATTTTATTCAAACACTCTGAATAAATTCATTATACGTGTATCTGAAGCAATGATGGGAGATATATAATGGAAACTTTATATTTTTAAATAAAAATTAAAGACTGATATACAGATTCTTATTAAAAAATCCAAAGCAATTGATTGAATCTTCATCCTATTCTTGAAATTTGATATCTTAATGCGATTTAGAAATTGAATCAAATTTATTTTAAAAAATAATTATATTACGATAAGTTCTTATTTTTTAATTTTGAGACTAATTTGATTATTCTATTTATTTGATTTGTGACTATTATTATTTTACCTATATTTTGATTTAGAATTTTTAACTAAATTGAATAAATTATAAAGTACAATAAAAATATGTATTTTAATACAATAATTAATATTTAACTAAGTTTATATATAATTAGTTAATTTTTTTTGAGATTGTTCTAGCATTGAATAAATGATGATTGTTTTTGAATAATAATTAAGTTAACAAACTATTTACTTTAATTCTACAGATGATGGTTGTAGTTATAAAAGTAATGATATCAGACAATATTTTATTTATTTGATATAAACATAGAGAATTGACTAAACAAATATATCTATAAACCTTGCTAATAAAAAAAAAACGATACAAGCACTTTAATAAAAAGTTATTGTTTAATTTAACAAGTATATATTATGTTAAAACCTTCCTTACAAATATCCTAAATTATAATATTTCATATCACCAAATTTAAGAATTTGCAATACAAGTCTCTTAAAAATATCAATTAATTAAATTTTTCATTTCATATTATTTTTTCATAAATAATAATTAAACCTTAAATAATGTTTTTGAACAATTCTTTGTAGTTTTAAGGATAAAAAATCTCCAGAGAAGTAAATCTTCTTTATTATTTTATTTGATTTTTATTTGATTTTTATTCATTTTTGTAATTTTTTAATTAATATAAGGTTTCCTTCTTTAAATATTTCTACAAGTACAAATTATTCTTCATAATTTATGAATCCAGCCATTAGATTTAAGGAAAATACCATTTTTTAAAATATACTATAATCATCCTTAAATTTCTATAATTATAAAAGTAATTAAAATTCCAAATTGTGAATGCTAAAAGCATTTCAGTTATAATGAAATATTATCAAAAGAAATTGCTAATATTATACATTATACTTTTACTTATTAAGAAATACAAAATTTTTTAATACATTTTATGACATTTCTAAAAATATTTTAAATAATCGGTCATTTGAAAAACTATAATTGGATTATATTAACTATTGCAAAAAACACATAAACTATAGACTTATTATATTTTGAAAATATATTGAAATCATTATATAACTATTTAAAAGAACAAATAACAAAGTTTTAAAATATTTTTATGATTTTTAAAGAATCAAGAATAAAATTGGGAGCCTTTTTCTCTTTCATATTATCTTTCAGCATGCTTAATATAAGAATTTAACTAAGTTTTAAGTAATAATTATTTTTGTATCAATATAAAGAGCTTATGTAAGAAAGAGATTCATCTAAAAGATAACCTGAAAAATAAAAATACTTGGAAACTAAATCAAAAATAATTGCAAGATTAATAGTATGGAAAAATTTGTTTTGCTTTTTTTTTTTTAAATACTTTTTTTCTTTATCAATTGAACCATAAAATATATATATAGTCTTCTAGGAATAACTTTTTTGAAGTTCAGTTCTCTCAAAAATAGAAGATTTTCTTGAACTAAATTATTATTGTTTTTTACTATAGGATAAAATTAACTAGAAAGTTGTTATTTTTATTTTACACGCTAATAATAATCTATTTACATAGGTTTTTATAGGGATTCTATTATGAAGAGAATATACAAAATAAAGGCAGAAAAAATATTACTATTGAGAATCTAATGATAAAATTTAATGCTATGTATTTATATAAATAATCAAAAATTAAAGAACTTAGATGTTCAAATACTATTAAATTTTTATCATCTAATGTTAATAAATTAATCACACCAATTAAATGAAATTACAGTAGTTTTGTTTTATTTTGTTACTTCAATTTCTAAGCATAGGTAGTTTAGAAATATCTAAAAATTGCATTTGTGGGCATGTTAGAAGTAAAAAGGAATGCAAAAGTTCTGGTATTTGCATTTGGGAGATGAATCAATGTAAATTAAACTCAGGCCAATATTACAAAATGGAAATTTAAAATTAGCACCACTGCAAATAATTTGCAAAAGAGGATTGTAGAGAATAAGAATAATGTGGTTTTTATTTGGGTTAATGTATTAGCTTTGATGATTGTCGAATTTTTAATAAAGATTATTGTTAAGAATCTTCATATAAATGTGTCTCTGATGGCACAAAGTGTGTTAAAATGTTAGAATGTAATGATTATAAAACAGAAAATGGTTGTTCAAATAAAAATTAACATGGTAAGTATTGCTTTTGGGTATAAGACAAAGAAAAATAATGTAGAGATGTTAAAATATGTGTAGAATTACCAATATATTTAATGAGTCATATTATGTGTAAAGAAGGTTTCGATTTTTGTACAGTAAGTGAGAAAGGTTATGGATGTATTGAGTAAATGGAGTAATGTTCATAATATTATAATGATTTTTAATGTTTTGAAAATAGATAAAACAAAAAGTGTTTTTGGAACTAAAAAAAAGGTAAATGTGTAGAGAAGGTTTGTGAGAATCTACCATTTTCATAAGATTATGAATGTCAGTCGCATTTAAGTGATTGTACATCAAATGGAATTCATTGTATAAAAAGGAAGGAATGTAGTGATGCTTAAAATAAATTTGGTTGTTTTACAGACATTTAGGGTAAGAAATGTGAATATTATTAAAATGAATGTAAAATCAAAAGCTGCAGCACTGCTTCAAGTTCCTTAACAAATTATTAATAATGTTAGGATTATGATAATTTATTAGATTGTGTTACTTCAGAAAATGGGGGATGTAAAAAAAGACCTGAAACATGTGATGGTTATGTCAGGGAAATGGATTGTTATTCTATTCAATAATAAGATTGTGTATGGTATTACAATAAATGTGAATACAGATAATGTTATCATGCTCCGTTTTATTATAATCATACAGATTGTAAAAAATATGGAAATTGTATTGGAAAATTAAATGGTGGATGTTAAGTAACACCTTAAATATGTAATGAAATCTTAGAAGAATAATTTTGTGAATTTAATTATAACAATGAAAAGTGTTTTTGGTTAGAAGATAATTGCATATTATTAGAATGTAGTATATTAAAATTACCATTTTATAAAAATCATTAAATATGCTAATAAGCAAGCTCNATGTAAATTAAACTCAGGCCAATATTACAAAATGGAAATTTAAAATTAGCACCACTGCAAATAATTTGCAAAAGAGGATTGTAGAGAATAAGAATAATGTGGTTTTTATTTGGGTTAATGTATTAGCTTTGATGATTGTCGAATTTTTAATAAAGATTATTGTTAAGAATCTTCATATAAATGTGTCTCTGATGGCACAAAGTGTGTTAAAATGTTAGAATGTAATGATTATAAAACAGAAAATGGTTGTTCAAATAAAAATTAACATGGTAAGTATTGCTTTTGGGTATAAGACAAAGAAAAATAATGTAGAGATGTTAAAATATGTGTAGAATTACCAATATATTTAATGAGTCATATTATGTGTAAAGAAGGTTTCGATTTTTGTACAGTAAGTGAGAAAGGTTATGGATGTATTGAGTAAATGGAGTAATGTTCATAATATTATAATGATTTTTAATGTTTTGAAAATAGATAAAACAAAAAGTGTTTTTGGAACTAAAAAAAAGGTAAATGTGTAGAGAAGGTTTGTGAGAATCTACCATTTTCATAAGATTATGAATGTCAGTCGCATTTAAGTGATTGTACATCAAATGGAATTCATTGTATAAAAAGGAAGGAATGTAGTGATGCTTAAAATAAATTTGGTTGTTTTACAGACATTTAGGGTAAGAAATGTGAATATTATTAAAATGAATGTAAAATCAAAAGCTGCAGCACTGCTTCAAGTTCCTTAACAAATTATTAATAATGTTAGGATTATGATAATTTATTAGATTGTGTTACTTCAGAAAATGGGGGATGTAAAAAAAGACCTGAAACATGTGATGGTTATGTCAGGGAAATGGATTGTTATTCTATTCAATAATAAGATTGTGTATGGTATTACAATAAATGTGAATACAGATAATGTTATCATGCTCCGTTTTATTATAATCATACAGATTGTAAAAAATATGGAAATTGTATTGGAAAATTAAATGGTGGATGTTAAGTAACACCTTAAATATGTAATGAAATCTTAGAAGAATAATTTTGTGAATTTAATTATAACAATGAAAAGTGTTTTTGGTTAGAAGTTTGTAAAATATAAGAATGTTCAGATGCTTCTAAAATTAATTACACCAATAATGTAGAATGCAACTTATGGTTAGATTATTGTATTTTTGATCATGTTTAAGGAGGATGCAAAATGCGAATAAATTCAGTTGCTTGTACATCTTCACCAAACCATAGCATGTATAGTACTCACGAATAATGTTATGCATGGAATCCTAAATGTACTGTTACTTCTTCCTCTAAAGCAGAAGGATGTGAAGCAAAGAAAGAAAATTGTAATGAATATATTAGATAAAGAAATTGTTAAACGAATTTGTTGGACAATATTGTTATTGGGATGATGCAGAATAAAAATGTAAAAATGAGGATGATGATAATAATGGATAAGTTG